AGCATGTGGATTATTTTCTGAGGATCCCTCTCAGTGCAAGTGGGGAAAATGGTGCAATCAGGTACACATTGAGCAAGGGTGGATGCAATTTAAAAAGAATGAGTTTGAGTCATGGTCTAATGGTCTTGAAAGACGCTTTAATGAGCTCCCTTCAGATCACCTGTTTTCTGTCCACGACCCTCAGCTCAAGACCACCTTGAGCCTACCAAAAGCCAGTATAGCCGGCTTCTCACGTGGCTTATTTCAGGGATCCGCCAAGAAGGCTCCAAGTGTTTGTATGCTATTTCAGCGCAGCCGTTGCACGGCCAATACGTGCTGCAATCAGATACACGTGGATCAATCGTATTTGCAGCTGCATCGTCGGTGGGTGTGCAATGGCGAGCAACTTCCCGAGGAGAAGCGCAGAGAACTTTGGGAACAGATGAACTCCGTGCTAGAATCGCTCTTGTCACGTAGCGAGAGGGAAGCCATTGCCACGAATGATATGTATGACCCCGCGAGGGAGTTGAATCCGCAGGCCCAACCGTTTGTTCCATCACCACTCTCAACACCACAACCCACCGAAAATTTTGTGGGGGAGACTGGTGCGAAAAGGAGGGAGAAAAGAAAAGACGACGCTTGCCACGTGAAGGGAGAGGGCAAAGGCATCACTTCCTTTGCTACTCGTCAATCCAGGAGCCACGTTTCTGATTATCCATTTTCTACGGAAACTGAAATAATATGTACCCCCATGAAATCACAGGGGGTGGTCTCCACGGGTACACGCTCAAATCAACAACATCAGCAACAGCAGGAGGGCTCGAATAAAAACATTTCTGCCAACAATACAAACTGCATTAATTCCCGTTCGCGTAATAACAATTCTGCTGGAGCCTTTTTACCTTTAGGGGAGTTTGTGACGGTGGTGGACGGAGATGAGCGATCGCAGTCCTCCCTTCAAGCGAGCCATAGCAATATAAGTCATGCCGGTCGAAGTTACAAGCACACGAACAATCCCTACACATTTGGTGGAAGCTCAAGCTGCGCCGCCTCCCCCAGTTTTGGATGGGTACAGCCCATACGGAGTGCGGGAAATAGCTGTACCACGATGCCAAACAGTTGTGCTGGTGCAGAGACCGGTGGCTCCAATGGGGGCAATGGTGTATGGGGAATGCGAACGAAAGTGGATCCATCGCCCGCTGCTCCCGATAATCGCTCTGCGCTTTTTGGTGCTCATCACGAGTTTGATAACAGCTTTTGTGCTTTATCTCCTTCTTTTCAGTGGAATGCCTCGGGCAGCACGCCTGCCAAGACAATAGAGGAGCTTCAGAAGGTCTCGCCGGACATGGACCATGCGAATGCGGAGGAGAATGGTTTTTTGTAGACCCAGTGAAAAAGTAAGCGAAGATGCTGTATGTATGGTGCAATAATTGCTGTACGGAGAATTGGAAAATGGGTTTTTGGTGGGGAAGGGGGAAGGCCCAAGGAGAAGAAACTAGTTGCTTTTTTTGTTTGTTCGTTTGTTTGTTTTTGCTTATACTTGGTATGCTCGCCTTTTCAGTAGTGAAGGCAGTTGTGCGAAAATGGAGCCCATGAATACGCCGCAGGTCTTTTAAGAGATAAGATATTGGGAGTCAATGAAGAGAAGATGTCGGTGGTGTATGGACGCGCGTAGCGATTGAAAAGTGGCATGTGTGTAATGTTTCCGCTATTTCTTTTCTCCTTTTTTTTTTTTTCGTTTTTGTTTTTGTTTTTGTTTTTCTGCTGTTTCATCCGCGTATGGGGATTAATTGCTGTGGATCTTTGCAGTGTATTTGTCTGTATGTGTTTGTGTGTGTGTGTGACGTCGTCGTCGTTGTAACAGTGAGGGAGAGGGACGGGAATTAAATCGGAAGAAATTATTAACACGGCAGCGGCGGCGGCGGTCTTCACGCTGACACAAAAGCCCAATGGCGGGTCAGTCACGCGCGAGGGATCAATACGACGTCAGCGCTTCTTCTTGTGGTGTGCAGCCGAAGCCCTTCATCGCTAGGGGGGGGGGGGGGGGGAAGGGAAAAAGAAGGACCTTCTTTTTTTTTTTCTTTTCTTTTCTTTTCTTTTCTTTTTTCTTCTTTTTTTCCCGGCTGAGGGAAACTCGCCCCTCCAAAGAAAAAAAAAAAAAAAAAAGATGTGGCAATGTCAGCGAAAAGAATTGGAAGGAGAGGGGCGTGTCTCTTATATATATTTTGTTGTTTGTGTTTTTTTTTTTTTTTTTTTTTTTGTGCGTGTGTGTGTGTTTTGTTGTTGTTTTAAAACGCACTTTATGGGGGTGGCACAAAAAAAAAAAAAAAAATGGATGTTTGACGTAAAACAAACGCAAATAAGTTTTTCAGTAGAAACAAACAAACAAACAAACAAATAAATCAATCAGGGATCGATGATTTTGTCAATTCGCACATATGAGCCTAACTGTTTCTGAAGTGCCCGCAGGAGTGATTGAAAAAAAAAAAAAAAAAAAAAAAAAATGGAAGCGGTGAAGATGTATACGGAGCCCCTAACCCTAAACCCCAATGCAACTGAATCGATGTCTAACGCGTTCTTTCTTTTTTTTTTTTTTTTTTTTTTGTTGTTGATTTGTTTGTTTATTTGCGATATCCCTTTTTTTGTTTTTTGTTTTTTGTTTTTCTCTTTTTGGCTTTATGGACCGTTTGTTCTATGTTTTTTTTTTGTTTTTTTTTTAAGGGCGAAAGAAAAAGAAAATAAAAAAAATGTGTACGAACGATTTCTTGGGGGCAGACGCCCAATGTTAATCGTGCCGATCTGCTGTGCCACCTGATTGTCTCTGTGAGTAGGAAAAGAAAGAAGGGAAAAAAAGAAAAAAAAAAGGATCGTGTTTTCTCCATTCTTTTTTTTTTCTTCGTTTTTTTGTTTTGTTTTGTTTTGTTTTCTATTTTGAGCGCACGTAATTGGGAATGTCGTGGCAAACAAAAGGAGTGGGGAAATGGATGCCCACCCGTCTGGCTGGGATGTGAAGAATATGTGAGATGCGAGATTCTCCTCTCTTTCCCTTCTTGTGTGGGTAATCGGTTTTGCTGCGTCTCTTTTGTTGTGTGTGTCTTTTCCTTTTTTACATTTCTCCTCTTCCTTTTCTTTATTATTATTATTGTTATTATTGTTGTTGTTGGTGTAAATATTAACTTTGTTCACAGGTGTTTATGCATCCACCGTACATGTATGTATGTATTATTTATGCATTTGACACCGCCGATTATCTTCACCGCCAATCGCATTAGTAGTCATAGTAGTAAATAGTAGTAGCATTTGGTAGTGGTGGTGGGCGAGGAAAGAAAGAGAAGAACGGAAGAAAATAACAACAAAAACAACAACAAAAGAAAAGAGAAAATGAGAATAATAAATAAATTAAAATCAAACGAATAGGAAGGAAGTGGCAAAAGAGGGGAGGGGGGGGAGGTGGCGACATTAAATTCATATTGAAATCTTCTTTTTTTTTTTTTTTTCTTTCATTTAAAATAACTCTGCATGTATGTATGTATGTATATGTATGGCATTTGACAGAGAATGTGTACGTGTACGTGTGTGTGTCAAGGAGGGAAAGAAATAATTAAAAAAAAAAAAAAAGACGACTTTGAACGAAATGGTTCCCTTCATTAACTATTAAGGAAGAGCGACAGGTGTTGTGATCATTTACCCTTTGATTTGATTTGCTTTTCTGTTCTTTTTTCGTTTTTGTTTTGTTTTGTTTTGTCACTCACACCTTCTCTTCTATTTAAAAAAAAAAAAAAGAAAAAAAACACTTGGCTCTCTATATCTTTGTCTCTCTCTGTCTGTCTGTCTGTCTGTATGTCTGTGCTTGTGCTTTTGCTTACGATTTTTTTGTGTTTGATGATAAATTGACGGGACGTCATACTTTTTTTTTATGCCCATGTATCTAGCAATGCGCTTTCTGTTGACGGTGCCGCCGAGGGGTGAAAGGTGCGGGGGATAATTTTTGCAAAAGACGCTTCATTCCCGTCGGCTCTCTGCTCGTGATGATTGGAAGTCGCACATTTCCTTTTTTTTTTTTTTTTTTTTGCATCGGTTTGCCTGACCGGCCGCTGCACCCGTGTGAGTGTCTTCTTTTGCCCGGCAGAAGGGTGACGGACGGGGGCACGGTGCCGGAGAACACAAACACGAAAAGAAAGAGTTGGTGTTGTGTGGGTGGGTGTGTGGTTCAGGAGCATAGAATAGCAGATTCATACATAGAGGACGGTGACGGATGAAGGGGGGAGAAGAAAATAACGCCACGACGCCCCCCACAGTACTGTTGCCACCCGGCGTTTACACCACAGCCCCGACTGTGGAGGATGCGTTGGGAGATGCCACCGTTCGTGACGGCACGGCGATGGAAGAAATGAACCCGCATGAGAGGGTAGAGCCGGCATTGATGAGGCGCTTTGATAGGCATCGGCGTCTGCACCGCGCAATGGCGGCGAGAGAAGCCACCCTGCTGGAAATCACGCAACTTATTTTGGATAAGTCCGCCCCGGAGAGAACTGAGCAGTTCTCTGGGCAGCGCAAGGCAACCGGGGTTGGGTCTCATCCACTGTCCACCACGCCTGAAAAAGGCACCGGTGCAGAGAACACGACAATGAAGTTGTCAAAGGCACCTTGTCCCAACGTGCCGCTTGAATCAGGGATGCGGCAGGATATTAATGAGGCAAAACGGTCAAAATCCATAGATATTGAACATGCCAAGGAACGGGCGCAACTTGAAAAACTTGTGTATGATCTTCGCCGGGAGTTGGAGGCTGCAGGCCATACGTTACGCGATCAGACAGAAGCCTTGAAGTCAGTAGGTATGGGAATGGCGCGAATGGGCCCGCATCGAATGGCAAAAACGCAACGCGAGAAAGAAAACGCATCATCTATTGACCCCTGGCGTGAGTTTGAGAACTTTGTGGACGTGCAAGACTTTGGAAGGTCTTTTGCGCGAACGTCGCTCGGAGGCACAAGCTACAGCTTACGGTCAAACAAAGGGCAGGCAGCAGCCATGTGGTTGGCCGGGTTTCTTTTTTTTTCTGGGAAGACGTGGGGCTGACGACAAGAGGTCCGATGGGAGTTAAAAAGGCTACAAAGTTGGTTTAGAACCACACGTGCAGCGGTTGAAGGAGAATATAGGCCTACCAGGTAACCGAATTCGGAACGCGGATGCCGTCGAAAAGCCAGCAACCACGTGTTAACTGCTCGTTGTGTGGAGAGACCTTAAGCGCACAACGGCGCAGGCTCTTGTCGTTGTGTAGGTACGTCCAATTGAAAGGGTATTGGGACACTACCGCAGGACAGGACTCGGTTTCGGATTGTGACAGGCTGGTCAAATCGTTACTTTGACTCGGTTTTTGTCCACAAATCTGTTCATGCATTGCAATGTACGTATCCTTCATGTTTGCTTGTTTGGTTTTGTTTCTTCTTTCTTCTGTGTGTGTGTGTGTGTGTGTCTCTCCGGTACGCACGCGTGGAGCAGGGCGTCACGGAGGATGCACGCACACTTGTCAAAGCGATGGGAGGAGAGGGGAGCTGCTGCTGCTGTTGCGTGCCATTCCCTCGCATCGCCGCCATTACGTGCGAAACTGTCGTGTCTCAGTCGGGTGGTAGTGGGGTTTTGGGGAGGACGAAAGGAGGGTATTGGGAAGATGCCTCCATACGTGTGTGTTTGGGTGGGGGGATGGTTAATGGGGCGTAGAAGCACCGATTGTTAGTGGGGACGGGAAGAGGGGATGGCGCAGTTAATGTTTTAGTGAGAACACGGCACAGCAATCAAAAGGAAAAAAAAAAAAAAAGGAAGAGGCATAGGAATTGGGGAAAGAAATGCAAACAATTTGTTTGTGGTTTATTTTCTTTCCCTTTTTTTTTTTGTTCCCCCCTCCTTTTCCCTCCCTTTTTTTTCTCTTAACATTCCTTTTTTTGTTTGTTTGCATTGTTTGCTTTGTTGTCTTGAAGGAGCAAAAGGAAATTTTGTTTTTGTTTTTGTCTTCCTTTCACGATGTGTGTGTGTGTGTGTGTGGTTTCCCTTTTTTACATCTCTCCACTTCCTTTTCTTTATTATTGCTATTATTGTTGTTGGTGTAAATATTAACTTTGTTCACAGGTGTTTTATGCATCCACCGTACATGCATGCATGTACGTATGTATATTTATGCATTTAACACCGCCGATTATCTTCACTGCCAATCGCATTAGTAGCCATAGCAGTGGTGGCATTGGTAGTGGTGGTGGTGGTGGGCGAGGAAAGAAAGAGAAGAACTGAAGAAAATAATAATAATAACAAAAACAAAGAAAAGAGAAAATGAGAATAATAAATAAATTAAAATCAAACGAATACGAAGGAAGTGGCAAAAGAGGGGGGGGGGGGTGGCGATATTAAATTCATATTGAAAATTTGTTTTTTTTTTGTTTTTTTTTTTTGTTTTTTCATTTAAAATAACTCTGCATTTATGTACGTATGCATGTATGTATGGCATTTGACAGAGAATGTGTGTGTGTGTGTGTGTGTGTGTGTGTGTGTGTGTGTGTGTGTTAAGGAGGGAAAGAAATAATTTCAAACAAGAAAAACAAAAAAGAGACGACTTTGAACGAAATGGTTCCCTTCATTAACTATTAAGAAGAGCGACAGGTTTTGTGATCATTTACCCTTTGCTTTGCTTTGCTTTGCTTTTTTTTTTTTTCTGTTTTTGTCACTTACACCTTCTCTTCTATTTAAAAAAAAAGAAGAAAAAAAACACGTGGTTCTCTATATCTTTGTCTCTGTCTGTATGTCTGTGCTTGTGCTTGTGCTTACCATTTTTTTTTTTTTTTGGTGTTTGATGATAAATTGACGGGACGTCATACTTTTTATTATGCCCATGTATCTAGCAATGCGCTTTCTGTTGACGGTGCCGCCGAGGGGTGAAAGGTGCGGGGGATAATTTTTGCAAAAGACGCTTCATTCCCGTGGGCTCTCTGCTCGTGATGATTGGAAGTCGCACATTTCCTTTTTTTTTTTTTTTTTTTCATTGGTTTCTCTGACCGGCCGCTGCATCCGTGTGAGTGTCTTCTTTTGCCCGGCAGAAGGGTGACGGACGGGGGCACAGAGCCGGAGAACACAAACACGAAAAGAAAGAGTTGGTGTTGTGTGGGTGGGTGTGTGGTTCAGTAACATAGAATAGCAGATTCATACATAGAGGACGGTGAGGGATGAGGGGGGAAGAAGAAAATGACGCCACGACGTCCCTCACAGTACTGTTGCCACCCGGCGTTTACGCCACAGCCCCGACTGTGGAGGATGCGTTGGGAGATGTCACCGTTCGTGACGGCACGGCGATGGAAGAAATGAACCCGCATGAGAGGGTAGAGCCGGCATTGATGAGGCGCTTTGATAGGCATCGGCGTCTGCGCCGCGCAATGGCAGCAAGAGAAGCCACCCTGCTGGAAATCACGCAACTTATTTTGGATAAGTCCGCCCCGGAGAGAACCGTGCAGTTCTCTGGGCAGCGCAAGGCAACCGGCGTTGGGTCTCATCCACTGTCCACCACGCCTGAAAAAGGCACCGGTGCAGAGAACAAGACAATGAAGTTGTCAAAGGTACCTTGTCCCAACGTGCCGCTTGAAGCAGGGATGCGGCAGGATATTAATGAGGAAAAACGGTCAAAATCCATAGATATTGAACATGCCAAGGAAAGGGCGCAACTTGAAAAACTTGTGTATGATCTTCGCCGGGAGTTGGAGGCCGCAGGCCATACGTTACGCGATCAGACAGAAGCCTTGAAGTCAGTAGGTATGGGAATGGCGCGAATGGGCCCGCATCGAATGGCAAAAACGCAACGCGAGCAAAAGAAGAAATTGTTGACGGCATCTGAATCGTCAATTGAGGGGGAACCAGGCCCCTGGCGTGAGTTTGAGAACATTTGTGGACGTGTCAAGACTTTGGAAAGTCTCCTTGCGGCTGAACGAGATCGTTCTGAGCGCGCGGAGAGGCGATGTGCGGAATTACAAGCTACAGCATTACGGTCAAAAGCCAAAGGGATGCAGGGCGATGCAACCGATGTGGTTGGGGCCGGTGGTGTTTCTTTTTCCGGTTCTTCTGGTGAGAAGCACGGTGCGGTGCTGACGACTGAAACCGAAGGTCGCGATCGGGAAGTGAAGGCCAATGAAAAAGGACTTATGGACAAAGTTCGTGATTTAGAAGACGCACACCGTGCAGCACGCCGTGTTTGGGGGACTCAGGAGAGAGAATATAGGCGCTACATCCAGGTGCTCGAAGCCGCAATATCGCGGATGGAACGGCGGATGCCAGTCGAAAAGCCAAGCAAAGCCACGTTGTTCAACCTGACGCTTCGACTTGTGTCCTGTGAGAGACTACTTAACAGGCGCAACAACGGCGCAGGCTCTATTGATCCGTTCGTGATAGTGTACAGTCCAATTGGCGAAAGGGTATTGGAGACACTACCGCGAGAAGACACGGACTGCCCCGAGTTTAGCGAGGTGGATGATGTTGTGACACTGAAGGCTGCGCGTGGCTCCTCGTGGCACATTCTCTTTGAAGTTTACTCGCGTGGAACGAATAATGTGCGACTTTTCTTGGGTCAAGCGAAGGTCCCCGTGGGGCCGTTGTTGGAGGACGATAAGTTGGGTCGTGTGCGAAGGCACTCTACGAAACTGAGACTGCGAGATCGTGAGACGGATAATGAGCTTCTGCGGCAAGCCCACTCTTTGGGTACGATTGTATTTGACGTGACGACAACTGTTGTGAGTGGTGGTTTGGCCCGCGTGGGTCGTTGGCGTAGCCCGTCACTTTGTCCGGTAGGTCGACTGATTTCTCCTGGGCGAGATGGGGAGGAGGATACAAACCCCAGTGCGGTTATCAGGAGGAACGAGGGGTGTTTTGCGTCCGTCACGGGTCTCACACTTCGAGTTGCTGCCGCAAAGGGTGTTTTGAAACGCGGGCCGGGAGTGAACTCGAGCCCGTACGTGGTGGCGTACGACGGCTGCACGGGAAGCGAGCTGATGCGCACTCCACCCGTTTTGGGAACCAGTGAGCCTTCGTGGGAAAGTGAGACTCAAGCCGGCGTTTCTCTTTCTTCTTTGGGGCCCCGTGGATGCATCATATTTCATGTTTTTGATTACGATGAGAACGGGAGGAGTGAGTTTCTTGGAGAGGCACGTATTTCAATGCATCAGTTGGACTTCGGGAAAGAATGGCATGAAGTAAAGTTGTGCCCCCGTGAGGATGAGCCAATTGCGTACATACGGGAGCACCGCGAAAGACTTGGGAAGTTGGTATTGCATTGTACACGAGAAATTCGCTCCAGTAATGTGGGGTGTACTGAGAAACAGTATGGGCATCCGCGGCGGCCCCACAATTTATCGCGGTCTTCAAGGGTTCTTTGCGATGAGTCTGTCTCTGAAAATGGGAATACCTTGCTTCAACCCGTGGCTGTTCAGGTTCATGTAGAAGGGTGCCGTGGTCTTTGGGATCGACCAGGAAGCGGAAATATATTCGTGCGTATGGTGGCACCTAACTCGAATGCATACGTCACGACTGTTGTGCCCCACACGCCGAACCCCTCATGGATGGAAGAAGACGGATCTGCAACAATGACATTGCACCCCTTAGATCCTGGTGTGATTGCGTTCCACGTCATGATGGGTGACGGGCAGCCAGGAGGGAAGGAGCAGTCGCTGGGTTACGCCCAACTTGCCGTCAGGGATCTTTTTCTCCTTGGCTTGGGAAAGAAGGAGCTGCAGTTGGATGTGCACCCTCAAGAAACCGATTCACGGTTTCGACAGCGTTCTATCACCGAGCTTGGAAGTATTGTGGTGTCTTTTACGACCCCGGACGTCATTCCGGTGAATACACATAGAGAGAAGGAAAACTCAGTTGAGAAGCAAACCACAGAAATCACCGCTGCCGAGACGCCCAATCAGACATCTGCGGCCTCTCTTCCGACTTCATCGTCGATTTTGAAGCAAACAGAGGAGGTGTTGGGTCCAACCACGTCGTCTCTACGCATATTTGTTAAGGAGGGCCAGGATCTTTTGGACTGTGACCAAGCAATGTTCAATGTGATGGGCGTAACGGATCCGCGAGTTCTTGTATGGGTTGGCCCCGACCTTGCCTTCACTGTTCCTGAAAAGCGTGATACAGTAAACCCCGTGTGGACTCAAGAAGAAGCTGAATTTATTCTTCGCGTTCAATCAACACAGGTCATTCGGTTTGAGGTACAAGACGTGGACGTGTCTGGATTTGATTCCATGGGATGTGCCACGATCCACGCCTCCGAAGTCATTGATTCACCCGGTGTGCGCCGTTTGCCCGTGATGCTTGACGGGAAGCAGTACGGCACGTTGGTTGTCGTTTTTTCGAGAGATTGTGAGGATTTTTCTAGTAGTTGATGTTTTGGGTGTGATTGACGTGGTGTTTTAATTGCTGGTCTTTTACTTTTTCATTTCGCGGAGAAGGGCAGATGTCCATGCTTTTGGTGCGTGTGTGTGCCTTATTTATTTATCTTTTATCTCTCTTTTGGTTGTTAACAAGGACGGCCATACTTTTTTTTGATTATTTTTGGCTTGTTGTTTTTGCTTGCTGTCACTTCTTCTTGGCCTCCATTATTGTACGCATGTACGATGACAAGAGAAGAATGGGCTGCTGCTGCTGCTGCTGCATATGCATATACATAGAGTCACACCCATTGCCCTCGTCATAAAGGCCGGTATATGTATAGATATATAGATAGATATGTATTTATCTGCCTGACAGTTGAGCATTGGCAAAATATCGCCACCGTGAAGCAAGAAGCAAAGTAAGGCAAGAGGTTATCCGTGGGGCTTTGGATGTGGGCTGGCGGTTAGCGATAAAGCTTATTGTTTGCGATATTTTTTTTTCTTTAACTTTCAGCTTTTCTGTGTTTATTTTTAGTTCGATTTTGTGTACAAGCATGTGTACGCGTACACCGTTGTCCTCCCTCCACCTGCGTTTGCCTTGGACTTCTGGTAGCCACTTCCTTTTTCATTATTATTTTGGCGGCCGCAGAGGCTTGCTAGAGCAAGGAGTTAGCAAACATTAGCACGGGTGAGAAGGCGGATTGCCCCCCTCCACCCCACCCCTGAGTCTGGGGATGGCAGGACTGAAGATCAATCTAGACGACCTGGAGAGCGACAATGACGACTCGGCACAAATTTCACACGAGGTCCTTCGCCTCGGTGAACTGACGGTCTCCGCGGAGGGACTCACGACGTCGATGGGCTACAAGTACGGCCTGTCGCCGGACGATGTCATTGTGAGTGAGACCGGGTTTTTGGGTCAAGGCAGCAGTGGCTCTGTTCGCCGAGCGACTCACCGCAGGACTGGCGAGGTTCTCGCCCTGAAGGAGATTAAAATTACCAGTCATGCGCATCTTCAGGAAATTAGACGAGAGTTGGAAACACTCCACCGTGACGGGAACAACTCGCCGAACCTGGTGGATTTCTACGGCGCCTTTTGTCACGAGGGTTCCGTGTTTATTGCGATGGAGTGCATGGATGGAAGTTTGGCCACTGTAAAAAAGCCGGTGCCGATTGAGGCACTGGCGAGCATTTCGCGCAGTATTCTTCTTGGCCTCTGGGACCTTCACGGGAACAGGCACCTCATCCATCGCGACCTAAAGCCCAGTAACATTTTGTTTAGTCGGGATGGACGCATCAAAATATCGGATTTTGGCGTGAGCTCCTTTTTGGAGTGCACCCGCGGCGACGCGCATAGTTTTGTGGGGACGCTGACGCACATGAGTCCCGAACGTCTGAAAGGGGAGTCATACTCGTTCGCGGCAGATGTATGGTCATTTGGACTTGTTGTTGCTGAGCTTGCACTAGGCCGGTGTCCGTTCATTGATAAATTGACGCGGTCCAAGAGTTCAACGGAGGCCGGGTTCTGGGTATTGCTGCAGCATCTAAATAGCGATCGGCCAGTTATCACCTTGCCACAAACAATGGACCCATCACTAGCCGATTTTATATCAATGTGTATTCAGAAAGATCCCCAAAGTCGACCTACGTGTAAAGAATTGTTGCGGCATTCATTTATTATCAAGGGAAGCGAATGTGACGACAAACATGTGATTAGGGAGTGGCTTTTGGCGATGCCTATGCAGGCAGAACCTTCTCCCTCCACAGGGGAATGTGGGCAATCCCTGGTGCCTCCGGCTGGACCTAGTGCATCGCTAAACCTTGACGACGAGCTGAGCAGGTTGGTTCGCTGATTAAATAAGAATAACGAGGGAACAGAGTGTAAGAGATAAAAGGTTTAAAACTCGAATCTTTTGAAACATGCATACAAGGAACAAGGAGAAGGAAAGAAAAAAGAAAAAAAGGAAGGAGGAACATGGATGGGTTGTGGTCATTTGCAATATTCACAATGGATTCCTACCCTCTGTTCATGCTGGTGCACTACGGCAGGCTGTTGGCAGTTCTTTTTTTTGTTTGTTTGTTTTGTGGGAGGGATAACTGTAGCACCTGGAAAAAGTAAGATAAGGACGAAGTTACAGAATTTGTTTTTGGGTTTTTGTGTGTTTGTGTGCACGCGAATTACTGTTTCTGATGTCCCTTTTTGTTACTTTTTTGGTTGTTTGTGTGTTTGTCTTTGACTGCCTTTCTGTTTGCATTTTCCTTTCCTTTTTTTTTTTTTTCTTTTTTTCTGGTTTGTGGTTGTGTTTTATCCTCATCCGTTTACACTTGTCTGCCATTATTTATTTATTTAGTGTGTGTGTGTGTGTGTGTGTGTGTGTGTTTGGTTTTTGAGCCACGCATCGGACCTTTTGCGCCTCTTTCATTTCAAAATGCGACGCCAGTACGGCAGGGGTATCTGTGATAGCGGGTAAGTGGGGGGTTGAAGGCATCTGCGTCTTTTTCTCCCCTATCCCCCTCCTCTCAAAAAGGCATACGTACACACAAACACACACACACAGAGAGAGAGAGAGAGAGACGCACAAGTTTTTACCTATTTATCTACATATATTATATATATATATATATAACGTCCTCTTTTGTGATTTTCCATTCTTTTTTCTACTATTCCCCAATCTGTCTAAAAGCACTTATGTGGGTTTTTGCCCCCCACTACATTTCCCCGCCTCCTCACGCTGGCAGAGCACACGCCCAACTATTGGCATCTCCACTAGACATGATGATGTGTGCTGTTGCTTCTATTATTCCCTTTGTTGTTCTTTTTGATCTCTTTTTTGTCATATTTGTGTCTGTGTCTCCGCTCAGTTGACAGGCACAAAGTGCACGTGTGGAGTTGCGGCTTTGTTGTGCCTCTCTCCGTGTATGTGAATTCCCCCCTGGAGCAAAAGAACTTTGTGAGGAATAAAAAAGGCATCCTAAAAAAGGGGGTTAGACGATGGATCCTGACAAGTTGCGCAAGGCGCAACAGGCGTCCCGCGATGCATATCTTCGCAAGCAGGCACTCAAGCGAGAGAAGGCTGCCTCAGCTGTTTTGCAGGAAAAAATATCGGAGATTGAGGCGGGGGTTTTGCCGCATTCCCTTGCGGAGATTGAGTTGTTAAGTAAACGCGCCCGAGAAGTACAGGCCGCTGGTCAACTGCAGATCACAGCGCAACTACGACAGGAACTTCTTGAGGAGGACGGTGCTTTGGTGTCGCACGCTTCGGATCACGGTGGCGATTCGTCATTACCGCTCAATCAGGTGGAATTGATGGAACAGAGCAGTTCTGTGGGCTACCAAGAGAAATCTCACAATTTTGTGGCAATGGACGAGTCTGTCGTGGATGAACGCATCAAGAAACATGACTTTGTGGAGGATAAGACAGAGGAACAGATTAAACAGCAGCGTACAGAGGCAATACAGGAACAACACCGCCGTCTTCAAGAGCAACGACGATCTCTGCCTATTTATCATTCACGCGAGGCACTCCTTGAAATAATTCGAAAGAACACCGTAGTGATCATTGTGGGAGAAACGGGGTCTGGCAAGACCACGCAACTGTTGCAATATCTGTATGAGGAAAATCTTTGCAGGACTCCCCCATGTCTAACTGAAGGTGGCGATGGTGGTGGGAAAGGGAAAGAAGAAAAAGAAGGAGAAGAAGAGGAAGGGACGAGCGAGGAAAAGCGATTTATTTGTACTCAGCCTCGACGTATTGCGGCAATCAGCGTAGCGGAGCGAGTGGCACAAGAGATGAATACGCGCTGTGGGAGTATTGTTGGGTACAAGGTACGATTTGATGAAAAATTAGGGCCAACGACGCGGCTTCTTTTTGTGACGGATGGCATGATGTTGAAGGAACTCGTTGGGGATCCGGAGCTTCGCACCGTCAGTGCCATCATGGTGGACGAGGCCCATGAGCGTTCAATTAATACGGATATTCTTCTTGGCTTGCTGAAGGACATTACCCGCAGGAACAAGCAGCTGAAAGTGATTGTTGCCAGTGCCACGATCAATGCCGAAAAGTTTAGCAGCTTCTTTGACGGGGCTCCAATCTTTACGATAAAGGGACGAACATTCCCTGTCGATGTGTCGTATCTTACAGAGCCGATGGCGGACTATGTGAGTGCCACCGCTGAGTCCGTTCTCCTGTTGCATGCCACCAAACCTTTACCGGGGGACATACTTGTGTTTCTTCCCGGTCAAGAAGATATTGAGAACTGCGCCGCCGCCATTCGTGAAGGCATAGCCAATTCAGGTGGGCAATTGCGTCCGTTGATGGTGCTACCCATCTACGCATCTCTTCCACCACGAGAGCAAAGGCGTATTTACGAGGTCCCACCACCAACCACACGGAAGGTTGTGATCGCGACAAACATTGCTGAAACATCCATCACTATCGATGGAGTGGTGTACGTCGTGGATTGTGGGCTTTGCAAGCAAAACTATTATAATTACCAGTCCATGGTGGAGGAATTGCGTGTGTTGCCAATCTCGCAAGCCAGCGCCAAGCAGAGAACAGGTCGAGCAGGACGAACTCAAAAGGGGGAGTGTTACCGCTTGTACACGGCCTACACCTTTCGTAATGAGCTTCCACAAGAAACGGTTCCGGAGATTCAGCGGAGTTGTATGAGTTCTGTTGTTTTACAGTTGAAGGCACTTGGAATTGATAATTTGTTACAGTTTGAGTTTATTGATGCACCCTCTACGGCCTCGTTGGAACGGGCTTTGGACCACCTTTACTTGCTTGGTGCAATTAAACCGAATGGTCGGTTGACACTTACCGGAAGACGCATGGCAGAATTTCCACTGGATCCCTCACTGAGCAAATGTATTCTTCGTGGGAGCGCTTTGCGGTGTCTTCGTCACATGGCAATTGCCGTGGCGATGCTCACTCTCGACTCGGTGTTTGTGGTGAGTCGGGATCCGAAGGAGCGGGCTTCTATTGCGAGTGCTAGAGACGTCTTGTTTTCCGCTGGAAACGGTGATGTCATGGGATATGTGAGGTTAATGGAAGAGTGGATGCGTGCAGGCCCCTCGATGCATGAGTTCTGTCAATCACACTCAGTGAACGCAAAGGCTCTTCTTCAAGCCCGAGACGTGTTGGATCAAATACTAAACACATGTGAACGTCTAGGCCTTGATTTGCCCAGTGGAGAGGAGGAAACATCGCTCTCTATGGAAAATTTTACAAAGGCCTTACTGGCGGGGTTCTTTATGAATGTTGCGAAGTTGAATGCCGACCGGAGGACGTATCTGATTGTGCGCCCGATAGATGCCTCCGTAAGCCGCAGTGGTCACAACCATAATAATTACAATGCATTGGATGCCGAGGAAACGGCAACGGCGGAGTTGCACCCGTCGAGTTACCTTTTTAATGCTGGACTGGAAAAAAAAGATGGGAAGAGCAACAGAAATGGCAGCATGGTCTCAACTGCGCCGACTCTGCGAGAGAGGCCAGAGCTCGTTGTTTTCACACAGCTACGGTACACGAGTAAACGCTACATGATGCACGTGACGGCTATTTCTTCCGTGGACTGGGTTCTGACGACGGCCCCTGAAAATTATTTCACGAGGGAGGAGTTGGAAACAAAGTTGCGGAAACGCGCGCATGATTAGTCCCAAAGGGTGCGTCAAAGAGAAAGAGAGAGGGGAGGAGGGGAGAAAACATTTAAGAACGCGTTCTCTCCGATGATTTGTTTTTCTCTTTTTGTAGACATGTCATCTGCCGGTTTCAATTGATTGTTGTCATTATTATTATTATTAATGCTGTTTCTGCCGAACCGTTGCCGTTGAAATCATTTTATTCCTTTCTTCTTTTTCTTTGTTGTTGTTTCTGTTTGCTATTTTGTCAATGCAGGAGGCGGTTAGAGGTGCGAAAGGGGGCACATTTTGCTTTGGGTGGGTTGCGGGGCAATGTTTCGTCGCTCCATGCGACTGCGCATGATGCAACTGCACGCCGCCCCCACGCCGAACCCTCTTTGCCTCGCATTTCATATCCCTTCCTCGACGTACGATGGTTTTATCCCCAATGGCCAGACTTGCGAGGTGGCGCACCGTGGGCTGGCTTGGGTGCACCCTCTGAGCAATGGCATTTTTGAACAATATGGGCAGGAGGTAGCGAGTGTGTTCATTGCGCCGCGGCATGTGTCCATCACAGTTTATCCAAACGTGGACTGGTCGACTCTGGAGTGGAGCATCAGTTCCTTTATTGGCCACTATTTATTGTTTGTTAACGAGTGTGTGCCCGCCGCAAAAGAGTACACGCTCATGGAAGATGATCTTCGGATTCATGAAGAGGATTCGGAGGTGCTCCAGTGCATCAAGGAACTGTTGCGGGAACAGGTTCGCCCCATGGTGCAGCGGGATGGCGGTGATGTGAAGCTTTTGAACTTTAATGAGGAAACAGGTGTCGTGTCACTTGCGATGCTTGGGGCATGTCGTACTTGCCCCTCCTCCAGCAACACTCTCAAAGATGGCATCGAGCGAGTCATGAAACATTTTTTGCCGGAGGTGACGGAGGTGGTAGAAGACAAGGGCCACGCGTTCTACGAGGAGTATGAATTACTGTTTCATTCGGAGGAGGCACTTCGACGGGAGGCAGCGCGAATCGACGCAGTGCGCCGCCGGAAAATTTCTCCGAAGGTGACGGCGTCGCTGATGTCGTTTGACGCCCTTCACGAGCCAGACGGTGATGAGTGACTACGGGACGAACCCATTTTTATGTTCGTTTGCTTTTATTGTGGCGTATCGAGTCATGTGTGCGTGCAATGGGCATCGACTTAGTTGTAATTGCTTTTTTGTTTTGTTTTGTTTTTTCTACGAGGGATGTGTCATGCCCGCCAAAAATTGCTGCGGGTGGTTCCTTGTCGATTTTTCGGTTTTGCTTCTGCGCTTATTATTATTATTTTTATTATTTTTCTTTTCTCCTCATTCACAGGCATTTGTGGTGGTGATTCTGGCGATTTTGAGTACAATAAGAAGCCACACATGACTCTGCGTACACGTTTTGAGAGCTCTGATGACGTTGGCGTGTTTTCACGCCTGACGAACGCCTACTGCCTTGTGACCGCGGGCGGCTCACAGAACTTCTACTCCGTTTTTGAGCAGGAGCTGGCGAACCACATTCCGGTGGTGTACACGTCCATTGGTGGATCTCGCGTGATTGGACGCCTCACATGTGGCAACCGCCACGGACTTGTGGTGCCTTCGATTGCGACCGACCAGGAGCTGCAGCACCTGCGCAACTCACTCCCGGACTCTGTGAAGGTGCAGCGCGTAGAAGAACGCCTTAATGCACTTGGGAATTGCGTCGTGTGCAACGATCACGTGGCACTGATCCACACAGACCTGAGTCGGGAGACAGAGGAGATTTTGCGTGACACTCTGCAGGTACAAACGTTTCGCACCTCCATCGCTGAAAATGCCTTAGTCGGTAGTTACGCCGTGGTTAACAACAAGGGTTGCATGGTGCATCCCAAGACCCCGGCACAGGATATGGACGAGATCGCCTCCCTTCTGCAGGTCCCTGTAGTGGCCGGTACGATCAACCGGGGCAATGCCGCCATTGGCTCCGGTCTTGTCGTAAACGACTGGGCAGCGTTCTGTGGTTTGAACACAACCGCCACAGAAATTACTGTAGTTGAGCGCATCTTCCAGTTGCGCAGGGATCTTGGTGGGGACGAGCCAAACCTGCTGCAGCAGTTACGGGACACCCTCGTGGATGAGTTGGCGTAGGAATGGACGGAGACAACGATGGGGGGAGAAGAGGGCAAAAACAAATTAATTAGCATCCAACCACCAGTATACATGTATATATATATACAAAGTAAAAAAAATAGGAGCTTGTGAAAAGAATGATCGTGGGAGAGCTGGCTGCCTTAATGAACGTATATATATATATCCTGATAAATGAAGGCATTCTTTATGATACTCTCTACCGTATGAATCTTTTGGGAAGAACGCGACTTTGTAGGGGCAGGGAGCAGATAGAGGCCAGATAAGATTTGTTTTTTATTTTGCCATCCCACCCTAACCCCCTTTTGATTCCCACCACGCGGCGGGGTCTTGTGGTTGGCGGACCCCAAAGTCTGCCACTTCGTAAGTAATAAATATTCAAATCCTAAGTAAGGACAAAGGACCATGCTGGTGGTCCACAGAATTCTATATATTGAATGAAAAGAAAACATTGAAGCAATTAACTAACGAACCTTTTTTCCCTAACTTGTTTGGTTTCCATAGATATAACTTCAGGATCCGGCCAGCTGCCCGGAAGATTATTCAAGGTAAAAATAATTAATTTTCTTCCATTCTGTTGGATGTGTGTGTGCTCTTTTTTTTTTTTTTTTTTTGCTTTTGTGGTGCGTTAACCTGCGAGACATGATGACAACGAGGCATGGAGCGAAGAAGAAGGAAAAAAAAAAAAAAAAAAAAGTTGATAATAATAAAGATTTTCCGCCCCACTTCTGTTGTTTTCGCGTAAAAGTCGGATGATATCTCCCTCAGCCGCCGTGTCCCCGTCCCTCTTCCATTATCTTTTCCTTCCTTTCATTGGGGCGTGCAATGACGTTCCATGCGGTGCCTGCCATCGCCTTCTTCTCGTTCCATCTCTCTCTCTCACTGGGAGTCAGCGTAGGAGAAAAGGAAGAACGGAATAACAAAAAAAGGTGACGAAAAAGAGAAAACAAAAGGCCGGGGCGGGGAGGCCGAACTCACTTGTATATAATTCTTGTAAGTATATTTATACATTCATTCCCTTCTTGACTGCGTGTGTGTATCGGCGTAATTGACGTTTTACGCTGTCGTTGCAAAGGCAACATCAAACAGAAGAGGCAGTAAACGGGGGAAGGGGGGGTTTGCAGGTTGTCGACCGGTGCTCCTGAAACTCTTCAGGGCACGAGAAGGAAGGAAGGAAGCATCTGCGGTGAGTAAAGTTCTGCAGCTAAAATAGCACTACTGCCACCACCGAGAATAGAATACAGAAAAAAAAAAAAAGAGGAAAGTGTGGTCGTGCGAATTATTATTAAATTTTCATTCACTCTGACCGTGACAAACAGCAGGTCAAATGAGTCAGAAGTTTGGCCCCTACCAAGTCGGTGAGACAATCGGCCGAGGCACGTTTGGCAAAGTCAAGTTGGCTGTTCATGAGCCTACGCGTAAGAAGGTGGCACTAAAAATTATTTCCCGAAAATTAATGGAACAGGATGCACGTTCCAACATCAAGATCACGCGAGAAATTAAGATCCTCAAGGTGCTTCGACACCCAAATGTTATGCGGCTTTACGACGTGGTACAGACCACGCACGATATTGTGCTGATCTTGGAATACGTCTCTGGTGGAGAGCTTTTTGACTATATTTGTCGCAACGGACGGTTGACGGAGGATGTTGCACGTGGCATTTTTCAGCAGATTGTGGCCGGTGTGGCGTACTGTCATCGATACCACGTGGCGCATCGGGACCTTAAGCCAGAGAACATCATGATGGAGCAGGGGTCGACAAGAATCAAAATCTGTGATTTTGGATTGTCATCTGTCTTTCGGGATGGCTGCTTCTTGGCTACAAGCTGTGGAACACCGAACTACGCCTCGCCAGAGGTGGTGAGCGGAAAACTTTACGGCGGTCCGGAGACGGATGTATGGAGCTGTGGTGTGGTTCTCTACACTATGGTTGTGGGGGCCCTCCCCTTTGATGACAGCAACGTAGGGAACCTCTTTAAAAAAATCCAGACGGCGACCTATCATGTACCCAACACCCTCTCGGCTGGGCTGGCAGACCTTTTGAGGCGCATGTTGGTAGTAAACCCATTGGAGCGGGCCACGATGGAGCAAGTGATGCGTCATCCGTGGGTTTTTCCCGCGTACCCGCCCTATCTGCTTGCCCTCCACTACGAGACCATTCTTGAGACCGTGACATTTGGGAAGATGGCACTGACAAGAGAGGAAGCATTGGATGAAAAGATTCTTGAGATCGTGGCTGCACGCTTTCACATCTCCGTGCCGGAAGTGGCTGCTATTATTGCCTCAAAAGAGAGAAAAAAGTCCCCGTTGTTTAGCATCCAGGAGACTACGCATGAAAAGGGAGCGAGTGGGAAGTCTTACCCTGCTCTGGAGTTTTTTGAAAAAGCTGTAAACGTAGTAGATGCAAAGTTATGGCCAGCGCCCCTGGTTATACCGCCCGCAGAGCAAGCGCTTCGTGATGACGAACATAATTTACACGTGTCATACCTTATTCTGCTACACAACAAACAGGATAGTCTCTTCCTAGAGAACTTATCGAAAGTTGGATCGAGCTGCGATGCAGCGAACTCCCTTATTTTAACGCTGTCAGCCAGTCAGGGATACGGTTCTCTCAATGCAAACTCTTTACATCAAATATCCATGGGAATGAGTGCCGTCTCTAGGAGCCTCCAACAGGCACAGCAAAAAGGTGCTCCGCAAACGTTACGTGTAAACAAGGTGGGTGGTATCACTTTTTGTGGTTCCTTGCCCGCACATGTACAGTCAGAAAACCAGCTAACAGAAGAAGTCGATTTATACATGAAAGGCTACAATGATGTTGTAGAAGCTTTTATTCCGCTTTGCTGTGTCCGCTCGAAACACACCCTTCTTGGAAAGTTGCTGGGGGTAGTTGAACGCCCTATGAGTGCGAAGGAACCAACTCAATCCCACTCACAAACCCCACCTAGCAAATCAAAAGGTGGGGGAACTCTCCTACAGCCCCTTCTTAAACCAATGATAAATGAGGGTAGTACGAGTCCTGCGTCCATGTCGAATGAGGGAGCGCTACTTGTACCCGCTTCCAGGGGCAAAAAAACGAAAGGCAACACCAGCGGGAAAGGTAACGTAACCCCCCATAACTGTGAGGGTGGCATTTCCTTTTCATCGTCCATGACACCAGATGTCTTCCAATGTGGTACAGTGACTCGTTTTGGAAATGAATTTATTCGAAACGGGGTGCTGTTCTCCCAAAGTGGCTGGGTGACGACGCTGCATTACGTTTACAATGCCATGGAAGAAGAGGGTTTCTTATGGAAGACCACCCAGCCCTTTTCTTTTGTCGCCGTGGTTCACCCATCTGTGAAACTGCAGTTAAAGATTTACAAGGTCAATGCAGAGGAGCAGATTGTCGATGTAAAGGTGTCCTCTCAGAGTGGTATGCATGCGTGCGACAAGGCCATGAGTCTTTTGGACCGTCTGCGGAGGAAGGCTGTTTTACACACGGAGAGAAAATTGAAGGAGAACATGGCCATGCTTGAACAGGGCGGTGCTTCCTCTCTTGGACCAGACGAATGAAGGGGGATTTGTCCACTCTAAAGAAAAACAGGGCGTCACGCCGGCTTTTTATTGCCGCGAAAATAATAAAAAAAACCACGAGGAGCGTTGGGGTGGTGTCTGAGTCTCTTACGCCTGATGATCCTGATAATAGGCGTGGCGCGTGTTAATGTGGTTATTTTCGTTAGTTCCTTGATTGTTGCGTCCTCGCGGCTGGTGAGGGGTGATGCGTGTATGTAATGTGAGTGTGACTTGTGAAATGAAGAGGAAGGAGAAAATAAGGGCGGATATTATTTGTTTAAATCCCAAAAAAAAAAAAAAAAAAAAAAACCGATGTGCCGCAAGGGAAGAAAATAAACGAGGGTAGGTGAAAAATGGCTCCGTGTGTGTGTGTGTGTGTGTGTGTGTTTTGAACAGGAAGAGGTGGGTGGCTGAGTAAATGAAGTAAAGAAATGAAATGACGAGGTCCCTGGCTCAATCAGCCGCCTCAAGGTGTTTGCCAGGGTGTAGTAGTACTTATTTATTTATTTATTTTTGTTTTTGTATTAGAGAGGCAGTTAATCGCCTGCCACCTGTCCACAATGTGCAGGGGAGCAGCAGATACCTAGCTTTAGGGCCGGAAAGGGGAAAAAAGAAAAAAAAAAAGCGGGACACTTTGGATTGAATATTGGAGGAGGGTGCATGTGTGGTGGGTCTCTTGCGTGCTTTTCCTGTTGCTTTTTTTTCCCCCCTTTTCTTTTTTTTTTTTTTTATTTATTCATCTCTCCTTCTCTGTATGTTTCCCCTCTTCCATTTACTCCTTACGGCACGACAAAGACGGCGGCTTCGGTTGGTCTTCTCTCACCTTACGACGAATAATACCACAGGGCGGTACATGTGCTCACCATTACTCCTTTTTTTTTTTTTTAGTCGTTTTACATGTTGTTTGTTTGTGGGTATTGAGTAAGTGCTGATTTTCTGGGTGTGGATGTCGGGTGCAGTGGACCACGTCGTCATCTTCCCTCTTGTCCTTTCATTCCTTTCTCTCTATGGAACGGGGGGAGCAGATGTCACTCGGGCGCACATTTCGTGTGTGTATGTGTCTCCCTCTCCGCTATCTGGCTTTTTTTTCTTTCTTTCTTGATGCGGCGGCTTTTCTCATCCCCTCGGACGACGCACCTGAAAAAAAGGAAAAACATGAGCGGGGCGGGAGAAAAAAAGAACGGGGCACAATGAAGGACGGTAGGGAAAAAAAAAAAAAAAGAAGGGATTATTCATTCCACATCTGTTCAATGAAGGATATCTGCGTTGCATGGGATGCCCCATCTTACTGCGGGTTTTTTTTTTTTCTTTTTCCTTTAGAAGCAGATAGAAAGAACGTGCGAATCTGTGGGACCAAAATGATGGAACGTGTCTTTTTGAGCTCTCCCGGTTGTTGTTGTTTTGTTTTTTTGTGTGTTTTATTATTACCGATTACTTCATATGTTTTTGAGCAAACCGCGTTGGATGGTGACTAGTGCAATCTTCTTTTTTCTTTTTTTTTTTTTTTTTTTTTTCCTGCCATCCCAGCCAACTTTTCTGTGACCCTTCACGCGGAGGGGAATTTGGCGGTTTTTTTTTTTTTTTTTTTTTTTTTGCTGTTTGTTTTGGGAGAGGGGAGCCTTAAAATTTGACCTATTGTGTATTTTATCATAAGTCTGATTATCTTAGCATATGTTTTGTGAATTTGTTTGTATTTTGGGTATTTGAGTAAGTGCTGGATGCATCTTCTTGTCGGTGTGTGGGATGTCGGGTGCAGTGGACCACGTCGTCATCTTCCCTTTTGTCTTTTCACTCCTTTCTTTCTATGGAACGGGGGGAGCAGATGTCACTCGGGTGCACATTTCGTGTGTGTATGTGTCTCCCTCTCCGCTATCTGGCTTTTTTCTTTCTTTCTTTCTTTCTTGATGCGGCAGCTTTTCTCATCCCCTCGGACGACGCACCTGAAAAAAAGGAAGAGCATGAGCGGGCGGGAGAAACAGGGAGCGGGGCACAATGAAGGACGGTAGGGAAAAAAAAAAAAAAAAAAAAAGAAGGTGTTATTCATTCCACATCTGTTCAATGAAGGATATCACGTGCAGGCGTTGCGATGGTGATGCCGCCACCGATGACTTCTCACTGCGGGTTTTACAACCCTGGAAAAGGCTCCTGTCGATTATAAAAGCGCAAAGGGACGGAAGAAGCCGCCGTTCCATTGGCTCCTTGCACGGGTCTACATTTTTTTTCTCTCCGACGCTCAAGAAGTAACTTTTATTTTGCGGCACGACGTGTCCTGCCGCCCCATGTGGGAGAAGGTGTCATGGGCGGCGAAAAACTGGGCATTGTGATGGGGGCGCAGTGGAAATGAAGAGTTGGATGATTTGCCTTTGGGCAATCGGCATGTGACCACCGCCTTCAAGCACCGATGCGCCTGATGATTCATATCTAGCAGACGCAACAAACTCTGACGATGGCCGAAGTTTTTTTTTTTTTTTTTTTTTTTTTTTTTTTTGCGAGGGAATTCGTGGAATGTCTACATTGTTTTATCTGTGGGTTTAACTATTTGTCGTCGTGGTTTATTCTTTTGCAATAGAAAAAATTATGGGGTGAAGTGGTGTCGTGTCCACGCAATCGCCGTGTTTTTTGCTGCATGTCTTCTGTGTGTGTCCACTTGTGCCTCTTTCCCACTTTTTTCCCACTTCTTTTCAGGATGCCTCATTCAGGGACTGTTTGGGTGATTGTGTACGCGTCGGCTGAGTGAAGGTAAAACGACCGCATCCTTTTCGTGGCCCTTGTCAAGTCCCTCTTCTTCACTTTCTCTCCCTCTCTGTGTGTGTCGTGCCTCACATTGGTCGGGATGCGTGCATGCGTTATCACACGGCCCGTAGCTGCAGCGCGAGCACGAGGGCGGATTAAGTGCAATTACACGGACATTTTTTCATGGGGTTCGTCACCTCCCGAGCAAGACGGAGGTGTCTCCAAGGGGGAGATGAATCGGATGAAGTCGCGCTTCTACAACTCAGGGCAGCGGCGCTGTACGTTGTGTGACGAATATTTGGAGGCTTCTTTCTCTACACATTGTTGCCACGTCAGCCACATTGCGCGGGTTGGAATTCTCGAGCGGGCCACCGCTATCCTGCAGAAGGAGACGGCAGAAGTTATGACGAGCTCTGCACATGAACCCGCATCAAAGGTGGCACAAATGGTACGAGTACTTCTGGAAACTTGGTGGAAGAGACTGAACGAGGTGGAGCAGGAGACGTTACTGGACTACAAACGTATTGCCTCCCTCAGCTCACCAAGTGCCAGGAGGAGACTCTGGCGGGTCCGCTTCTTGTTGGAGTTTTTGCGTGATCGCGAGGTGATTCGTGACTGCCTGACGTTGGCGAAAGGGACCCCCTCTAATGAAGGCTCTTTTGTTCGTACCAAACGTTTTGAGCGCAGCGAGATGATTGGAGACAACATAGTGAAGGTCGTGGTGCCGGATCGTCTTGTGCGTCTTTTCCCATCGACAGAGGGCGGTGTAACGTACAAGCTTGCGTGTATCCAGCAGCTCCTTGACAGTAATGAGGGTTTACTGCAGATTTATGACTACATTGACCTGAATTCCATCATTGGTACTCGATTACCGAACAACAAGACGAAGTCCGACGTGGTGGAATCCCTTTTTGGGGAACTTCAGACGTTTCTTTGGGCAAGCGAAGTGGCGTGTGGGTTAAATCAATACCCTGCCATTCCAAACGCCGAGCACCGTTATGTGCGGGCCCTCGTCGAGCACCTGCTGAATGAGCTGACCCACATGGTCATCATGTGGCGCATTGAATCAACCTTGGAGAACGCGAAGGAATACTTGGAAGAGCAAATTCAGCTAAAGTTGCAGTCATCGCAGCAGTGTGCTTTGAGGGGGGGAGCGGGTGGATGCACCGTGGTGAAGGAAGTTGAGTGTGACCGTGGTCGCTACGCCGTTCTACCGCTTTTGTTGTCCTTCCCTTATCCGAGTGCTTCAGCGGAATCACGGCAACACAGACAGCGACCAAGCACGCCCCCTCCGGTACGTCGTGTGGGCGAGAATGGAACACCCCAAATGTTGTTTACAACCTCCATACCAAAGCCTGAGTTGATGGTGTCGCACTACAGGCCGCGATTACGTGTGGTGCGAAGCTCACAGGAATACCGATTGGAGGCGGTGAAAGCGCTGACGATGCAGCGCAACTTATTCACGAATATTCTCCCAGCGTCAACGTCTACGCTTTTGGGAAGTCGGGTGAGCGCCAAGGGCGAAAAACAGCAGTTAGGCCACCTCTCATTTCCAGGATTAGCTGAAGGAAAATATCCCACTTGGGCTCGAGAAGTGCGAATAGCGGAGGTGCGCCGGCGTGTGGAAGAACAAATGGCGCGGCGGGGAGTTTATGTGGAGACAATAGACTGGGGAAGCATGCTGGCTGCGCTGGCGCGGACGTTGACAGGGTTTCATGCCATAAGAGCGCCCCGGCTGCAAAGTGAACCGACGAAGGCACCAACAAAACCTTTATCGCCACCAACTGTGGCCGCGGCAGCAGAAGTATTTCCGCCGGTTGAAGGAAAATTAAAGATCGTGGAAGAGATGTGTATTCCACCATTGAAGCCCACGGTGGAATAGTCCATTTTATTACACGCAAAAAAAAAGGGTAAAGAAAACGAACGAGATAAAAAATGCACAATTTTTTATTTTGCCTCGTGAGAAGAGAGATCCTTTTTCTGTTTGTCGCCTCCGTATTTCTGTGGATGCCAGGGCAATCTTGGCACAGAAGCGAAGGGCGAATTGTTGGGAATTAAACGATTGCGTGATTACCAGGGCACTGGATGCTCAAATAGCGGCGGATGAACTAAGTACGGAGAGGAGGACACTCCTGATGGTGTCAGGACGCGTCCTCAAGGCTATTTTGGAGAGCAGTGTCTTTTTGCTTTGTTCCTCAACGGTACGAACCTGAACGGAGCCGCCAAGCCTTCTACTCAATGCGTGAGCGCTAAGTTTACTCTTTCTCTGCTGACATCTCCCGATTCGGCCGGGAAGGGCGAAGTATACAAATACAATTTGTATGTGAGTAGGTGTTTGTGTGTTGTTGCTGTCTTCTGTTGTTGTAGGAAACTTTTGCTTTGTGTGCCCTTTTCTTTCTTCCCAAACTTTGTTCAGGCAACTAGACGACATGTCTCTCACCCTACAGTCCGAGCAGTTCCAGCACATTGTGCGTCTCCTGAACACCAACGTGGAGGGCAAGCGCAAGGTGCCTTTCGCACTCCGCATGGTGAAGGGTGTAGGTATCCGCTTTGCGTACATGGTGTGCAAGAAGGCCGGCATTGATGTGGAGCGCCGCGCCGGCACACTGACGGCCGAGGAGCTCGAGAGGATCTCCGAAGTCATCGCCGACCCTGCCAAGTTCAAGATCCCCGACTGGTTCCTTAACCGCCAGCGTGACCCCAAGACGGGCAAGACGGAGCACCTCACCAGTGCCATGGTAGACACTCGTCTCCGTGAGGATCTGGAGCGTCTGCGGAAGAACCGCGTGCATCGTGGTGTGCGCCATGCCTACGGTCTCCGTGTCCGTGGCCAACACACTTGCACGTCGGGTCGTCACGGCAAGACGGTCGGTGTTTCCCGCACGAAGTGAGTTGTCTGGGCTATTTAATGGGTTCAGATTGCCAATCAAGGATTTGTTTGTACTTTTTTTGCTTTTTTTTTTTGTCACTACATTTTTTTTTTCTTTTTGAGGGGGTCTCTCCCTTGTTGGCTTTTTGTCTTTTTATTTGGAGGTCTCTTCTCCTTTTTTGTTTCCACTCTTTGCGTCTGATGCGTATGTCTTTGTTCTTTTTTGCTTCTGTTCTCCTTTGTACCTTCGCCTTAGGAAGAATAACGACATGTCTCTCACCCTACAGTCCGAGCAGTTCCAGCACATTGTGCGTCTCCTGAACACGAACGTGGAGGGCAAGCGCAAGGTGCCTTTCGCACTCCGCATGGTGAAGGGTGTAGGTATCCGCTTTGCGTACATGGTGTGCAAGAAGGCCGGCATTGATGTGGAGCGCCGCGCCGGCACACTGACGGCCGAGGAGCTCGAGAGGATCTCCGAAGTCATCGCCGACCCTGCCAAGTTCAAGATCCCCGACTGGTTCCTTAACCGCCAGCGTGACCCCAAGACGGGCAAGACGGAGCACCTCACCAGTGCCATGGTAGACACTCGTCTCCGTGAGGATCTGGAGCGTCTGCGGAAGAACCGCGTGCATCGTGGTGTGCGCCATGCCTACGGTCTCCGTGTCCGTGGCCAACACACTTGCACGTCGGGTCGTCACGGCAAGACGGTCGGTGTTTCCCGCACGAAGTGAGTTGTCTGTATATAAGAAGGATATGGATTGTGTTTCTTCCTTTTCATTTCTATGCACTCATTTTTATTTTGTTGATGTGTGCATATACATTTTTTTTTTAATAAACAACGAGTGGGATGAACTCCCCGGGGTGTGGTGTCAACGACTGCGACGCCCTATCGGAAATTTCCCCTTTAATTTTTATTGTACGGCTGTTGTATGCTTGTTACTTTTGTTGATCTTTTGTTTTTGCCCTTTTGTTGTTTGTTTCATATCGCTTTTTAGTAGCACCCATTCGTAGGCTCTGGTGTTGATATTTACTGCTTCCCATGTCCATTTCCTTTAAGGAGCTTGTTGCTCTTCGCCGCGTGCATCTTGCGCAACAGCAGCAGCAGCAGCAACAACAACAAAATCAACAGCAATCGTTGGACCAGTGGTATCGAAATCATGTGGCGATGTCTTCAATTTCTCCTCCACCCATCAGTCGGGAGGCGGTTGAAACCGAAGAAAGTCCCATAAATGATTGGGATGGAGCCGATGATGGTGTGTCGACCGAGCAACAGCTCCCTGCGTGGTTGCGGGAGGAGTCTCCAACAGCCACTACTGCTCCTCTTCATCCGTGGTCCCAGCCAGTCGTGGGAAGGTACACCGTGGGGGAGGAAGTGCCCGTGGGCAAGGAGCCCAAGGTTATGGTGCCGCGCGAAGATCTCAAAGGTGAACTTCCGCGTGTGGAGGTGATGCGGCGGTGGCGACGACGTTACGACGAGGTCTCAGTGGAGACCTTATTGAAGGAAAGGAACATCATTGTGGATGGTGAGTTTACGGGGAATAAACCGGGTTCCTACCAATCCTTGTTGCCCCTTCACGCCTTTGACGACAGACGCTACGAGGAGTTATCCCCAGAAGAGTGGTTGGGAAAGCGTGATGAGACGGGCGGGGTGTCGTGCAAGGCGCTGCACAACAGGGGGAAATGGCGCTGGCTTCCAGCACGTGTAACCGAGTGGAATGCAAAAACCAACATATTAACTGTGGAAATTGCTGATATCAAAGAGGATGGCGATAATTTGAAAAGTCCTCAAAGGGAAAATGGTGCAGTAGTTGCGCTTCCGCGTTTGTATGTATGCTTTGATGCTGAAAACCCACGGAATTTCGTAGATCGTTTTGCAGAAGCCTGTCGTTTGCGAACGCTGGTTGAGAGTGTACTCCGTCAGCAACTGTACGTGGAGTCCATTCCGCCGGATGAGTATCAGGTAGTTGACCCGTTGGTATTAGAACGTGTGCACAATTTGAGTCTTAACACGCCCAGGCTTCGAGAAAATGAGGCCGCTCTTTCCGTGAACAGGCTCTTGGAGGAGGTGCGGACGGATTACTCTCGTGTCATGAACTTTGAATTGATGAGGCAAACAACAAAAAATGGCGCCCTGACGCAGTTATTCAGTGGCTCAGGGCTCCCGCCAGAGAGGCCGGTGGTGAAGCCACGAGAGTGTGGGGTGTACGGGCTACGCAGAAACTGTTTCCGTGAAGTGGTGAATACCTTTTACAGGGATTCATTCTTTGCTTGTAATGCCATCACCATTAGCGTCCTTCAACGCGTGAAAGAAGGAAATGATGCCTTGTTATCTCGAAAGGTGTTCCGTGTTGACCAATCGCTGGAAGACGTGTGTCCCATGACCATGGATGCATTCGAGGAGCTTCAGGTCGGGTTTGTTCGCCAGAATGCGCAGTTTATTCGGGAGAAATGGGTTCCAGACATCACAAAATACATTAAAAACGCCTTTTCTCATTGCATGGGGGCTTCCGATGTGAGTTTACATCTTCCCGAGAGTGTGTATGGGGGATCGAAGACACAACGTCTCATGTGCACCATCACGCTACAGATGCAGGACGCCCTACGGACTTTTTTAACGCGTGAGTTGGGTAAATTTGCCTCCTTTCTCGAAATGGCGGCCAATTACACGGTTCAGGTGCGGGGTATTTCTGATGTGAAGGTCGTGCCGCATCAGGATCGGAAAAATATGAGAATTACGCCTCTTTTCAAGGTTACTCTTGTTGAAGGGGATTCACGAACTCTTATGTATACTACAACCGCCACAGACTTTTCCAAGATGCTGACGGAACTCATTAACCGCTGCTTGACGTTACACACTGGGTTACGTTCTGTGGAGCGGCAACTGTTTAGCTTTCTTTACGACCCTGGCACGGCTTTTGTATCCTCCATTGATGGAGAGGATCCGGTTGTTCAATCTTGCCTAAAGCGCCTTGTGGAGACACTCACACGTGCCGGGGTACCTCTTGCTGAGTACATTGCAAAGTATGAGGTATTTGAAGATCTAGTCGCGCTTGATGTGTCGCAGTATGTGGAATCTTTTAGGGTGCAGTTTACATCCACCAAGGGAGTGGAGGACGAGATTGAACGCTTCATTAAAAAGCGAGCCGACATTAGCGCACAGATTCCTCGTTTTGTGGACATGGGCCTGTTCCAGGTTGACTGCACGGATCTGAGGCGGCAGCTGGCAAACAAGTGCACTCAAATTACCAACAGCATCCTTGAAGTTCTGCTGCAGCGTGTGAATTTGAAGGTGGCGGACGTGAACGAAGGGTTCCGTGCCATACGAGAAAGTCTTATGAAGCCAACCGAAACACCCGAGGAAGTTGTGGAGCGGAACGAGTTTATCCGCATGATTCCCGAAAAGGTATTTGACCTGCAGACGACGATAGTTGAGATCCAGCAGATTAACGCCATTTTGGATACCTTCCAGGTGCCACTCTCAGAGGATGACTTCAACAGAAAGTGGATGGCCATTGGCTGGCCCGCCCAGCTGGACGATGAGATCATTCGGCGACAGAACGAACTGGAGCAGACGAGACGAAGTCTTATTGTTAATATGCGCAAGTCACAGGAGGCGTTTCAAGAGAAGATTTCTCAGATGCAGCTCACTGTGGGAGGGTTTCATCGCCGCACAAATGTCAACAAGATTAACGAGATTGTTGCGGATGTGCATGCAATACAGGAGCACATTCAAAGTCTCATTGGGACGGCCAACACATTCAACACACATGAGTCTCTCTTTGGGCTTGAAACGACCGATTACGGTGTCGTACGGGAGCTCTCATCCGACTTTGATTCCTTTGCTACACTTTGGCTTGCTGTTTATGACTGGAACGTGGCAATACGAGATTGGTATAACAAGCCGTTTACGGATATTGATGCGGAGGAGATGGAGCAGCGGGTTATGAAGAACTACCAGAGTGTCAGCAAGAGCACCCGTGACCCAAAGCTTACCGGGCTTCTTATTGACATTGCTCAAAAAACCAAGACAAAGATTCAGGAATTCAAGCCAATGCTGCCGTTCGTTAAGTACCTGCGCACAGAGGGCCTGAAGGAGCGTCACTGGGACCAGATCTCAAAGGAGGTTGGCCACGAGATACGGCCGGGCAAGACCCTCATATCGCTCAATGATCTTACTGCCCTGAAGGTGACGGAATATGAGGAGATTTTGTCGCGCATATCCGAGGTGGCATCGCGCGAGTACCAGATTGAGACATCCCTCAAGAAGATGAAAGCAGACTGGGAAAACATTCAACTCAAAGTCCAGGCATACAAGTCAACGGACTGCTACGTGCTGCCAAAGGATTCCGTCGACACAATACAAGAGGAACTGGATGATCAGACGCTCATTACACAGTCTCTTAGTTTCTCTCCATTTAAGAAGATGTTTGAAAATGACATTGCAGCCTGGGAAGTTTCCATCCGAAAGATACAAAATGTGATGGATGAGTGGCTTGTCTGTCAGAAGGCGTGGTTGTACCTGGAGCCCATCTTCCAGTCAGAGGACATTGTACGTCAGTTGCCTCGTGAGGCAAAACGGTTTCAGAAAGTGCATGAAAACTGGCACGATCTCACAAACAAGGCGAATGAAATTGGTTTGGTGCTAAAATTCTGTGAGCCTAATGAATCCCTCGAGAAGTTTAAGGAAAATAATGGACTTCTGGAACTTATTCAGCGTGGATTAAACCAGTACCTGGAGAGTAAACGCTCCTCCTTCGCACGCTTCTACTTCCTTTCAGATGATGAGCTCCTCACGATATTATCTGAGGCACGTGATCCGAGGAAGATTCAACCACACTTCCGTAAATTGTTTGAGAACATCATGGAGATTGAAATGCGTGAGCCGATCAATGAGATGTACGGTATGTACTCTCAGATGCGGGAATACATCCCCTTTGATAGCTCCATTATTCCGCGCAAAAACATTGAAAATTGGCTCACAGAAATTGAAAACATGATGCAGATTTCTATTCGTTCTCAGCTGGCTCAGGGCCTGAAGAATTGTGTGGAGAAGGGACGGAAGTTTTTCATCTTAAACTCTCCGGGTCAAGTCGCGATTGCCGTCAACCAGATCATGTGGACGCATGATTGCGAGGAAAATTTTAAGGCACACGGCTCATTGGAGCCACATCTTCCCAAAGCGAAGGCCAATTTAATGGAACTTGTGGAGTTGGTGCGGCAGCCACTTTCGAATTTACAACGCATGAATCTCAGTGGACTGATCACAATTGAAGTGCACGCCAGGGACATTGTGGAAAATCTTGCAGAAGATAAAATTGATAGTATTTACGCCTTTGAGTGGATCTCACAACTTCGCTCATACTGGGAAAACAATGACTGTTACTTACGCCAAGTGGAAGCACAATTTCGGTATGGTGGGGAGTACCTTGGAAACACAACACGTCTTGTTGTCACACCGCTAACAGACCGTATTTACTTGACGCTTACAGGGGCAATGCATATGTTCCTCGGTGGTGCCCCCGCAGGCCCAGCCGGTACAGGCAAAACAGAAACAGTGAAGGACCTGGCCAAAGCCGTGGCCAAGCAGTGCGTTGTTTTTAACTGTCAGGAAGGTATGACATACGCATCTATGGGAAAGTTTTTTAAAGGACTTGCCCAGGCAGGTGCGTGGGCCTGTTTTGATGAATTTAACCGTATTGATGTGGAGGTTTTGTCTGTTGTGGCGCAGCAGGTTTCATCTTTGCAGGAAGCAGCGCGCACCAAGCAGTATCGTATTGCGTTTGAAGGGACGGAAATTATTGTGGACCCTTCTTATTCGGTGTTTATCACCATGAACCCCGGGTACGCAGGGAGGACGGAATTGCCAGATAACTTGAAAGTTCTGTTCCGCCCCGTTGCCTGCATGGTGCCAGACTACGCCATGATTGCAGAGATCCGTCTCTTCTCGTTTGGTTACTCGAACTCGCGGACTTTGGCCCAAAAGATGGTAGCTACATTCCGGCTGAGTTCTGAGCAGTTATCTTCGCAAGATCACTATGATTTTGGTATGCGTGCTGTGAATACTGTTATATCTGCCGCAGGTCTCATGAAGCGTGAGTCTCCTGATGAAGAAGAGGATGTTCTTTTGCTCCGTGCTTTGCGTGATTCCAACATGCCAAAGTTTTTGGAAGAGGATCTACTACTTTTCTCTGGCATCATCTCTGATCTCTTTCCCGGTGTGGAACTTCCCCCACGTGACTACGGCTCATTGTTGGGTGTTCTCCGGGAAACGGCACTGGAGATGCATTTGGAGCCCACCGAAATGTTTGTAAAGAAGTGTGTGCAACTGTTTGAAATGAATGTTCTCCGACATGGTCAGATGATTGTTGGACCCACCATGGGAGGAAAAACATCCAGTGCTCGTGTGCTTCAAGCTGCTTTGACAAAACTACGGGTTGAAATGAATGAAGAACGGTTTGCGGAGGTGCACATACACAGTTTGAATCCCAAATCCATCACAATGTCGCAGTTGTATGGCGGCTTTGACGAAGCAACAGCAGAATGGCGTGATGGACTTATTGGAGAACTGTTTCGCACCGCCGCCCGTGATACCACGGACAGCAAACAGTGGATTTACTTTGATGGACCCGTAGATGCTTTGTGGATCGAATCCATGAACACTGTACTTGATGATAACAAGAAACTCTGTCTTATTTCCGGTGAAATTATTGCCATGACGCCGTACATGAGTTGTTGGTTTGAGGTGGAAGATCTTGCGGTGGCGTCCCCAGCCACGGTGTCTCGTGCAGGGATGATTTATATGGAACCTGTAAGTTGCATCGGTGTGGAGGCCTTTATTGCAACATGGCAGCGTCATCGACTCCCCATCACGATGGATCCGTACAAGGAGGCTTTAGGGAAGTTTTGCACCGCCCTATTCCCCGCCCTTATTGAATTTGTGCGTCAGGATGTGGTGGAATACAGTCCATCTGTATGGCCCAACTTGGTTGTCTCATGCTTCAACATTTTTGAGGCCTTGTTAATTCCCTTCACGCCTACTCGGACGATGGAAGTGCCACAAGCCCGGTTGGAACGACTCAAAGAAGCGCATATGCATCTCTTTTTATTCGCTGTCGTGTGGTCTTTCGGCGCTACAGGTGACATGGATAGTCGGCAGCGGTTTGACCAGTTCATTCGGACGCAGCTGAACAACCTCGAGGTGTCCATCAAACTTCCAGTTATTGGCTGCATTCAAGACTATGAGTTTGTTTTGGATGAGGCTCGGTGGGTGTTGTGGACGGACCGTCTTCCAGCCTTTACCGCGCAGGTCACGGCACAAAACATTGCGGACATCATTGTGCCCACGGCAGATGTTGCACGATATAAATTTATCAACAAACTTCTTCTTGAAAAGTCTTTTCACACGCTTTGTTGTGGCCCAACCGGCACTGGAAAGACCGTACTCTTACAGCAACTGCTCATGCATGGGATGCCAAAGGAGTTTACGCCCATTTTCTTTACATTTTCCGCACGCACAAGTGCCAACCAGACACAGGATCTTATTTTCTCCAAGTTTGAAGTTCGACGTCGCGCCTCGCCGCAGATATGGGGTGCACCGGTAAACCAGAAATTTGTTATTTTTATTGACGATATGAACATGCCCGTGAAGGAGCAGTACGGGGCGCAGCCCCCCATTGAGATTCTGAGACAATACATGGATTATAATGGCTGGTACGACCGTAAAACACGAGAGTTCTTTCAAATTGTGGATGTTGTTTTTGCGGGCGCGATGGGACCACCCGGCGGTGGCAGGACTCATGTCAGTCAGCGCTTCCTTCGTCACTTCAACCAAATCGCCTTTCCGGAAATGGATGAGGACAGCATGAAGCGTATTTTCCTTTCCATTCTGGAAATTTATTTTAAGCCCTTTGGCGAGGAACTAAGTAGTAAACTCTCCTCCATTGTGAATGCCTCCATTGGCATTTTCTACACTGTCACGAAGGAACTGCGACCAACCCCTTCGCGGCCACATTATCTTTTTAACTTGCGTGACGTCGCTCAAGTGGTGAGTGGACTGCTTAAGGCCACTCCAAAGAAGACAACCAGCCTCGTTGACCTCCTACGACTATGGGTACATGAGGAAATGCGCACATTCAGGGACCGTCTTACCACAGTGGAGGACAGAGAGTGGTTTGATGAGCAGCTGCAGCGGCAGATTGAGAAGCATATCAAGGTCCCATTTACAGAGATTGTGCCACCCGAAACGGGCACCGATGGTCTCTTATTTGTAGATTTCCTCGATACCAAATCGGATCAGCTGTTCTATGAAGAAGTAAAGAAACCCGAGAAACTCGTCAAAGTACTGGAAGATAAATTGGTAGAGTACAACAATGTTTCTTTTCACAAGATGAATATTGTGATGTTTGCCTACGCAGTGGAGCACATTTGTCGAATTGCACGTGTTATTCGAAGACCCAACGGACATGTGCTTCTTCTTGGTGTTGGAGGCTCTGGACGACAGTCTCTTTCCCGTGTCGCTGCATTCCTTAACGATTTTGAGGTGTTTCAAGTGGAGATCTCGAAAAGTTACTCCATGAACACCTGGCATGAGGATATAAAGACGGCCCTTCGACGTGTTGCATTTCATAATAAGCAGGTGTTGTTCCTATTTACCGACACGCAAATTGTGAACGAGTCCATGTTGGAGGATGTTAATAACCTCCTTAACTCGGGTGAAGTGCCGAATCTTTTTGTGGGGCCGGAATTGGATGATGTGTTCAACGCCATGAAGCCCGTGTGTATTGCGGAGGGCATTCAGCTCGACAAGGTGGGCATGTACGCTCGATTTGTCAAGTTTTGCAAGTTTAACCTGCACGTGTCACTTTGCATGTCCCCTCTTGGGGAACCGTTTCGCAACCGACTCCGTATGTTTCCGGCCCTGGTGAATTGCTGCACGATTGATTGGTTTACGGCATGGCCAACGCAGGCGTTGCGGAGTGTGGCGCACAATTACTTTACGAAACTTAAATTAGTCCCTGCGGAGGAATTGGATAAGTGCACGGATTTATGTGTTACTATTCATCAAAGCGTGGAGGAAATCTCCATCCGCTTTCTTGAGGAGACACGGCGCCACAACTACGTTACACCCACCTCCTTTTTGGAGCTGCTCCACACCTTTAAACGCCTTTTGGAATCGCAAACAGAGATGGCAAACATGACGACGCACCGCTTGCAGAATGGTTTGACAAAACTGCGTGAGACGGAAAACGCGGTTGCTGGCCTTCAGCAGACCCTGGAGAAGAATCAGCCCATTTTGATTCAGAAAGGGGAATCCATCAAGAAACTTATGGAGGAGATTGTCATTCAGACGGAATCTGCCGAAGAAACAAAGCGAGAGGCTCAAACAGAAGAGGCGGCGGTGGCGGCCAAGCAGCGTGAGTGCGCCGCCATTGAGGCTGAGGCACAAGACCAACTTAGTGAGGCATTGCCTGAATTGGATCGCGCCTTGGCGAGTTTGGCGAATTTGAAGTCCTCGCAGATCACGGAGGTGGCTGGTTACAAGGCACCCACGCCGGGTGTGGTGATGACCATGCAGGGGATCAGTATTCTCTTTCAAATCAAACCCATCATGCGTGCTGCGGGGCCCATGGAGGAAAAGAAACCAGACTATTGGGCCACGGCCAAGGAACAGCTTTTGAATAATCCCAATCTGTTGATGCAGCGCTTGATTAACTACGACAAGGAACATATTCCTGAACGACTTATTCAGGCGGTTATGCCGTTAGTTTCTTCTGAGGACTTCACGCCAAAGAAAATTGCGGGTGCAAGTCAGGCATGCGCGGCAATGTGCCAGTGGACTCATGCCATGGTGAAGTTTCATGAAGTCAACAAGAAAGTTGAGCCACTACGGCAACGTTTGGCTGTGGCCCAAGAAGACAACCGCGTCTTTCAAGAGAAGCTTCGCATAGCTCAGGCCCAATTGGAAGATGTTGCGAGGAAATTGGAGAAATTGCAAGCTGACAAGACACGGGCTGAAGAAGAAATGAATGAACTGGAACATGTGGTGCAGCTTACGGAAATCAAACTTGGACGAGCGGCCATGCTTATTGACGGACTGGTAGGTGAGAAGAAGAATTGGACGAGTACTATGCAAGAAATTAATGAGAATTCCAAGTATCTGTTGGGTGATATGATAGCGGCGGCCGGGCAAATCGCGTACGTAGGGCCCTTTACTACCTTGTACCGAAATGATCTACTAAATGGCTGGAAAAACGAGTTAAAGAATCACGGAATTCTGCATCATGCGCAGCTTTCCGTGTATCACACCTTACAGGATCCCATTGTCACTCAGGGTTGGAACGTCAATGGACTTCCTACGGATGTGTTATCGGTGGAGAATGCCATTATCATGTCGAATGCACGTCGCTGGCCACTTATGATTGACCCCCAGAACCAGGCGAACAAGTGGATTCGGCAAACCTATCCAGAGGGAATAGAAGTTTTGAAACCTAGCCAAAAGGATGTGATTAAACGTATCGAATACGCCGTCCGTTCAGGTCGCGCCGTACTCTTGGAAAATGTTGGAGAGAGCATTGATGCCAGCCTTGCTCCTCTTCTTGCAAAGCAGACATTTAAGCAAGGTGGACAAGAAATGATTCGTCTTTCGGAGCATGCCATTCCATGGAATCAGGAATTTAAGTTTTACATGACGACCAAGTTGCCAAACCCGCACTACATTCCGGAGGTCATGGTGCAGGTCACATTGCTGAACTTTTTCATTACCCCACAAGGACTAGAGGATCAGCTTCTTGGCGTCGTCGTGGGACAGGAACGCAAGGAACTGGAAATACGTCGGAGCGACTTGATTAAAGGCAACGCTGCCATGCGAGCTGAGGTGGCCAACATTCAGAAAACCATTTTGCGTAAAATGGAAGAGGTCACGGGCGATATTTTGGATGATGAGAGCCTTATTGAGTACCTGAACCAGTCGAAGGCCACAACAGATGAAATTAAGATTAAAGTGGAGGAGGCGGAAGAGGCGGAGAAGGAAATAAATGCAAGTCGAGAGTTGTATCGTCCGGTTGCACGTCATTCTTCATGTTTATATTTTTGTTGTGCGACGCTATCAAATGTGGATCCCATGTACCAGTACTCCCTGCAGTGGTTTGTGCGGCTCTTTATTAATGGCATCGAATCCGCTGAAGAATCGGAGGATCTTGAAAAACGGCTTCAAAATTTGAAGGATTACTTCACGTACAGTTTTTACCAAAACATCAGTCGATCACTCTTTGAAAAGCATAAAATTATGTTTTCCTTCTTTCTTTGTGTGCGTATCTTACAGCAGGCAGGTGGCATCGACGATGATGAGTTTCGTTTTCTCCTGCAGGGACCGTCCATGACTTCCAAAACGCAGCCAAATCCAGCGCACTCTTGGCTTACCGACTCTACATGGGCAGAAATTTGTTACCTCTCAGCCAATTTCTCATGTTTTAGAGGAATTTCTTCGCACATTGCTGATAATTTGGAACATTATCGTGGGATTTTCATGTCATCTACAGCCCACAGAGAAAAATTAAAGGGAATATACGAGCAGCGTCTGAATTCCCTGGAGCGTATGATGTTTCTTCGTTGTCTTCGGCCAGACAAATTGATGGCGGCGGTACAAGACTTTGTACGGGACAATCTGGGGGAGCGTTTTATTCGCCCGCCTCCGTTTGATCTCTTCACATCCTTTAAGGAGTCCAGCCCCACTACACCACTTATTTTTATCCTCTCCCAGGGTGCAGATCCCTTTGAGGACTGGAAAAAGTTTGCAGAGTCGCAGAATATGGGTAAGAAGCTTTCTGACATCTCGCTCGGTCAAGGACAAGGTCCTCGTGCCGAACGTATGTTACAGGAAGGTATGGAAAATGGGACGTGGGTTCTTTTACAAAACTGTCATTTGGCGACATCATGGATGCCGACTCTGGAACGACTCGTGGAGGCCATTAGCCCCGGTATTCACCCCTCCTTTCGTCTCTGGCTTACATCTATGCCCAATCCATACTTTCCAGTCTCTGTGCTGCAAAATGGTGTCAAAATCACAAATGAACCACCGAAAGGCATGCAGGCCAACGTCACACGCTCTCTTTTGAGTTACCCCGAGGAATATTTTGAATCCTGCCGCAAACCGAAGGAATTTAGAAAATTGTTTTTTGCAATGTCCTTCTTTCATGCTCTGATTCAGGAACGTCGTAAGTTTGGTCCGTTGGGATGGAATATCCCCTACGAATACACGTCGGGAGATTTGGGATGTTGCGTCACTCAGATTCGCATGTTTTTGGAAAAGTACAACGAGGTTCCATACAAAGTCATTAGGGAGCTCAGTGGTAATATTCACTACGGCGGTCGTGTCACGGATGATTGGGATCGACGAACCCTTAATACGATACTAGAGGTATTTATCTCTCCTGAGGTAATGGAAGATGGTTACAGCTTTTCTCCGTCAGGTGTTTATCACTCCATTCCCACCGGGATGCAGAAGCATTATTTGGATTACATTGATTCTTGGCCTCTCAATACAAACCCTGAGATTTTTGGATTGCATGAAAATGCCGATATCACATGTGCACGTAATGAGACATTTGAAACATTGGAGGCAATAGTTGCCCTACAAGGCGAGGCCACACGAAAGAATGCCTTGGGTAAGTCCCCAGATGAAATAGTTGTGGATTTGGCTAAGCTTATTCAAGGAAAGATAAGCGATTCATTTGATCTTGCAAAGTTTCACAAGAGATATCCTACGAAGTATGAAGATTCCATGAATACGGTGCTCGTACAGGAGGCGATCCGATTCAATAATCTTACGGCGGTGGTGCGAGAAACACTGGAGGCACTTTCTCTTGCTATTAAGGGTGAAGTGTTGATGAATCGAGAGCTGGAGGAAGTGTATCGCTGCCTTTACAACAACCAAGTTCCTGGCCAGTGGTCGGAGCGGGCATATCCGAGTCTCAAACCACTTGGCTCATGGGTGGATGATTTGGCGCAACGATTGGCAATGATTCAGGCATGGTATGAGGGAGGGCACCCAAATGTGTACTGGATATCTGGTTTCTTCTTCCCACAGGCTTTCTTGACGGGTATTCTGCAAAATTTTGCTCGTAGAAAACAAATTTCCATTGATACCGTAAGTTACGGATTTGAATGGATAAACACGGATCCTGGCACGGTAACTGCACCCCCTCAAACGGGTTGTTATGTACACGGCATATTTATTGAAGGTGCACGGATTGATCGGCAAACCCTGCAGCTTGCGGAGTCCATGCCGAAGGTGCTATTTGAGCAAGTCCCCATGTTGTGGCTTAATCCTATCATCAATAAGGAGAAGCCAAGGAATGACGTGTACATATGCCCCCTTTACAAGACACCCCGTCGTGCTGGTACACTGAGTACCACGGGCCACTCGACAAACTACGTCCTCACGATGGAAATACCCACCACAGTAGATCCTAAACATTGGATAAAGCGTGGTGTTGCGTGTGTTTGCGCATTGAGCTCCTAAAATTAAGGAGAGAAAAGAAAAAGAGGAAATGCATAGGGTGGGAAGGGGTGGAGGAGGAAGGAAGGAAATAAAAACAAGTGAAAAGGTAGAAAGAAAAGAAAAAAAAAAAAAAGAAGACAGGAGCCAGGTGTTCATGGCAGCGGTACAATGCGCGCCTAAGTCAATGGTGAATAAATGTATTATTACATATGTTTTTCTTATTTTTCATTGTGTCTTGTTGTTGTTGTTGTTTTGCCCCAGTTGGTTGTTGCCTTTATGTATAGAGAAGGTAAGGAAGATGTGTTGCTGCTGCAAATGTGTTTCTTGTTTTATTCCATGTATATTTATATTTATACGTGTGTGTGTGTGTGTGTGTGTGTTGACTTGTGGTGTCGTTTTATGGTGCCTTTGATTAATGCCTGGTGCGCATCTTTGCTTTTCTTCTATCGGTTTTAGCTGCTTTTTCTTTGATCTCTTTCTTTGTGTGTGTTTGTTGGCTCTCTTGCAGTCTTTTTGGGCCGCGACGAGAAGAGAAAAGCAAATAAAAGAAGGGGTGGAGGGGTGGGGTGGCTTGACTGCGGTGAATGAACGGTGAGGAATCACCAGTCGAATTCCGGGGGCTACCGGGTAGTGTTTTTTTCGCGAAGTGGTTTACAATTTGCCTCGTTCTCGTTCTGCTCATTTCCACAGGAATGACCTCCATGCTATTCATGACCTCCATCTCAGCTAGTTATCTCCGGGCGACAAACAGCCAAAATCTGATGTATCTCCCGCCACATAATGGCACCGCAGAGCTGGCTGCTGTACTAATGATTCCAGAGTATATTGTCGAGATTGGTATGTTGCACTTCACGATTGGCGCATCTGCATTCTCCCGAAGAACGCGGAATTTACTTCCGCTGCAGCCCTTTTCCAGCGCGACGAACCCAATAGAGTCAATTCTTTCTGAGGATCTTCTTGTCGCATATATAAAAGTTAAAAATGATGCTCTTCAGTTTGGATATGCGGCTGCAGAGCCTTGTGGGGGTGCGTCTGCCACAAATATTATGTATAGGAGTCGGTTTGTTATTGCTGCGACAATTATTGGGACTCTATGTGGAATGGGCATCGTGTTTGTGGCATTTGGTTTTTTATTTTATTTAAGAAAAATTTATATTACGCCATGTACTAAATTTTGTGTGGAGCGGAAGGATCGCATGGTGAGGCTAACTGGAGGGAAGAAGGAGCTGGGAGAATTCATTGAATCAAAGAGGGCCGAAGAACACCGGGAACGCAGTGTGATCATTGCACTGATCATCCTCAGTGTTGTGGGAACCACTTTTCTTGTAACTGCGGAAGCTTTGGAGCATAATCTACGTTCCTCTACATTGAAGTGTGGCAGATCCTTCTGCGGCGTGTACGAAGACGCCATGCGTAGTCTTTTCCAAAGCCCCTGGACTAGTGGAGGCCGTTTCTCTTGCCAGGTGGGATACTCTTCTGCTCTTTTTCTCGCTGGGACCGTTTTGAATGTCGTGTTGCTTATACTCATCATGTTTTTATCTGCGCTGCACTTTTTTATGAGACACGTACACGTGACGCTAATTTGCGAGGCGGCGGGTAATGGAATCCAGCCGGAGGGAAATGGGCAACGTAACCCCATGGAAGCCCCTTACCTTTCCTTGGAACAGGGGAACGGGGGGGGCGATAAAATAAATTCGATCTTCTCCGCGTCGAATCGTGCGGCCACAGTCGTTGGCTCGGACGAGGAGAAGGATTTGGATCGCCTGCGTCAAGTATGCTTGATGCCAACTGGAATAGATGCGATGGAAGTGGCTGGGTCGTTGAATGATTGGAAGAGGGTTCGGTACTGACAGCAGGATGCTTTTGCTAAATAAGAGGAGGCTGTACGTTTTCTCATGCGAAAAGCAAAAGTTTTTTTTTTTTTTTCGGTTTATTTTGGAAAAAAAAAAAACGAAGAGACTCTAGCAGGAGGATTTGATCTGCACGCTAGACCGAAGGCCTCTCGATCGTCTCTTTTTGGTTCTATTATTGGAATTTTACATTTGGAGGAAACGCATTTTGGACCGAAGCATTTGCATTTCAAATGCAAGAAGTTCCTGTCAAAATGTACCGAGGCCAACAACAACAATAATAATAATAATAATAAGAGAGGAATTGAAATTGATGGACCCCTTTTGACCCGTATAAATATGGCGACGGGGCTTTAGTGGCCGCTGCAGGTGACGGGAGAAGGGAGGGGGGGAGATAAGACGCTCCCGATTCTTCGGGGTGTATGCGGAGATGTAAACTCTGCGCATTCATCGGCTTCCGTGAACATGTGTGTTTACCCGAAGCATCCGATGAGGAGACATTCAACTTGTTATCTTTGGATAGATCCTTCAACAACATTCCACGCGTGAAGAGGCAGGGTGAATTTGGAGGTTTCCTTGCGAGGGGCCGCGCTGATCCTATTCAAGACGCCAACAGACCAGGCCGGCTACCACACGGTGTCCTTCTTAATTCTATAAAGGCATATGAATTAATTCCTGCAGGTTATTCATTTTAGTTACTTTTGTAGTGGTTGGAGGGCAGCGATGTGACGGGGTGTTCATTTAGGGAAACGAGGAAGATCGTGAGAGTACGAGTAGCTGGTGGTTAAGCAGAAGAAGAAGGAAGGAAGAAAGAAGGCCTATATCCCTTTCTTGTATGGCTCACGGCTGTGGACCACGTGCTGATCACTTTTTTTTTTTTTTTTTGAGGCGCATTTTCTGGCATTTTGGCACAAAAGGCTAATTTTTTTTTTTGTTGTTGTTGTTTGTTTTGTTGTTTGTTGTTTGTTTGTTTTTAAATAAAAAAGGGGGGAAGACCTTTTCCCATTTTTATTTGCTCTTTTCCTTCCCACATATCTGGCATGCGATATGTTTCAATAAATACTCCAGGATCAAAAGTCTTTTCCTTTTGTTTTTGTTTTTTTTTTTGTTTTATATTTGTACTGGACTGGACGCAGTGGGAGGGGGGGGGAGCTGGTCCTATTTTTGTTGTTGTTGTTTTTGGGTCTTATATTGTACGGGCGCAGTGGACAATTAAGAGGGAGTTGTGAGTGCGGTCTCCCCTGGCACGCCTGACAGCGACGTGCATGGCTCTCCGCTGCACGGCTCTGCGGGCAAGTTAAAAAAAAAAAAAACGTGGAATGAACACTAGAGAAGCGAGAAGGCCCAACGCCTCTCGCAGATGTGGCATACCGTAGATGCTTCTGGCAGGCACCTATTCTTTATTTATTTTATTTATTTTACGTGTTATTTTATTACTTTTTGGTGACGACGGATAGTCGAGCCGCCGCGCTCGCCCGGGGCGGCTGCATAACGGGGTTGTGTGGATTTTACCCCTTTTACTGCCGCGGCTACTCCGGGGACCGGGGCCGGGGCTCTCTTTTGCACATCCACCCATGAGGGCGGACGTGCTCTATGATGGTGGCCGGCGTGTGGGCCATTGGATTTCTTGAAAAGAACGAAAAGGAAACGGGAGGAATAAACCAAAGTAAAAAAAAAAGGTGATTGAATTGCGCGTGGACGTGTTCATTATTATTTTTCAGTAGTCGGCTGCTTCTTGCCGAGGATGCGGCGTTAAATGGCAAATTTGGTTGGAGCAACGGAGAAAAATCGATGAGGCAAAAATAAAAGGAATAAAAAGAGAGAGAGAGAGAGAGGGGTAATTTGGCTGGTTGTTGTGTTGGGAGGTGCGTATTGAGCCCTCTTCTTATTTTTATTTTTATTTTTTTTATTATTTCTCCCTCTTGTCTCTCTTTGTTTTTTTGCGTGTCTGGGAGGGCCCTCAGTTTGCTTATTACGAGAAGAAGGAAAAGGAAATATACATATATATATATATCAGCGAGGGACAATAAGTGGAATGGAGATGTCAAGGTCTTCAGACACGTTCAGCGCATCACGCAATCGCGTCCGTGCGGATGAAATCAACGATGAGGAGGACCATGCAGACGCGGCGTACGTGGAGAAGCACAACCTACAGTGCCTCTTCTCGGAAATGGCGGAGCAGCTTTCCGAGAAGGATCCGAAAACTGAACAGGAGGCCGAACGCATTCTGTTGGAATTTTTGACGCACCGGAAGGCGGAACGTGACCGTGCGGCTCTGCGGCTTCAGTTTAGCCACTCCTTTGAGGTAAACCTTGACAATGGGCGCAAAATCATGAGACTGCAGCTTGGTCAAGAGACTTCCACGCTTCAGTTGGAGCAAAAAGGCCGTGTGTTGAAAATGGACGAGGCTTTTTCTATTTCTTTGGAGCAAACAGAGGAGTTAACGGAGATGTTTTACGAACTTGGTCGTTTTGTTGTGGATGGGACGAAAGGAGAACAGGGGGGATTCATTAGTATTGACGAGCGGGATGTGTATCTGCTCGCCGCGGGGAGGGAATGCGCGGAGGCAGGTGATGAGCTCTTTAATTTGGCGATGCTTTTCAGCATGGACCGGGGGAAGAAGTCAGAGCAGACTTCTGGGGAAGCGTAGTGAATTGGGGATGGGAAAGCACAGAAAAAAAAGGGCACACACACAACGATAGGGGAGAGAGAGAGAGAGAATGCAAACGTTGGTTTTTTTTCTTCCTTCTTTTGGCATTATTTATTCCAATATTGTCTTTTTCTCTTGCCATTCTCATGGAATAAGGCAAATTCTGTGGGGACCAATGGTCTGGCAAAGAAGAGTGATGCATATTTGTTAACTTTTCCTCTCTCTCTTCTATTTTATTTGTAAAGTTCATCAATAGGGATGGCCACTTATGTCCCCAAACGCTCTCGCGACGACGTGTACCGCTTCTTTTTCACAGAGGGCGTCATTTCCTGCAAGAAGGATCCTCTCGGAACGTGGACGGGCTCTCTTGGCGGAAAGACCTTCACGGTGCCCAGCATTCAGGTGATGCAGCTCATGCGCTCCATGAAGAGCCGGGGACTCATCAAGGAGCAATTCGCCTGGCGCCATTTCTACTGGTTTCTCAACGACGAGGGTGTGGAATATCTCCGCAAGTACCTCTTCCTTCCCCACGACGCTGTGCCCAACACCCACAAGGCTGAATACAAGGTTCTCGAGCGCGAGGGCGGACGCGGCCGGGGACGTGGTGAGGGCCGTGGAAGGGGACGTGGTGAGGGTCGCGGTCGTGGACGCGGCGAGGGCCGTGGCCGTGGCCGTGGTTTCCACAGCGAGCGTGACGCCTACCGCACGGGTGCCGCCGCCGCTCCTGCCGTTGAGGCCCAGTGAAGTTATTGATGGCATTTGAGGAATCTAATTTGGTTTTTATTTTCTTTTTCTCTAAAACACAGCCACGTCTTTCTGTATGTGTTTTCTGTTGTTTTCTTGCTTTGACACCAAACGTGTCACCGTTTGTGATGGGAAAGGATTTTCTATGCGTGTTGCATTTGGTCTTTTATTATTATTTGTGCTTCTCTTTTGTGACTGCATCTAGTTACTGATAGGGATGGCCACTTATGTCCCCAAACGCTCTCGCGACGACGTGTACCGCTTCTTTTTCACAGAGGGCGTCATTTCCTGCAAGAAGGATCCTCTCGGAACGTGGACGGGCTCTCTTGGCGGAAAGACCTTCACGGTGCCCAGCATTCAGGTGATGCAGCTCATGCGCTCCATGAAGAGCCGGGGACTCATCAAGGAGCAATTCGCCTGGCGCCATTTCTACTGGTTTCTCAACGACGAGGGTGTGGAATATCTCCGCAAGTACCTCTTCCTTCCCCACGACGCTGTGCCCAACACCCACAAGGCTGAATACAAGGTTCTCGAGCGCGAGGGCGGACGCGGCCGGGGACGTGGTGAGGGCCGTGGAAGGGGACGTGGTGAGGGTCGCGGTCGTGGACGCGGCGAGGGCCGTGGCCGTGGCCGTGGTTTCCACAGCGAGCGTGACGCCTACCGCACGGGTGCCGCCGCCGCTCCTGCCGTTGAGGCCCAGTAACAGGCATTAGTTAATTTGGATCAATTTTTTTTTGTGTGTGTGGTTGTTGTTGTTTTTGTTTTGTTTCCTATTTTCCTTCTCATTTCAGGCGTTGCGGGGTACATGAAGTTGCTGATTGACCCGCGAATTGCAACGATTGTACGACTGGATGCTGCAGTTTTGGGTTGAGTTGTTCTTTTTTTTGGTTTTTCTTTCTTCATTCATCATGGTTTTCTGCTAAATGCTGCGCATTCACAGTCCAATACGCATAAAAATACTATTGTGCGTATTATTCACTTAGTTAGCAAAGGAGGTCATTTTAGGACATATTCGTAATAGAGCTGTCTGCAGTAGCAATGCATACTTCCGTGAAGTGGTCAGAAAAGTCTCCAGGTAGAGATGGTGTTCGCCCCCCTATTTACAGCCTCTGTTACAGTCCAGCTGCTGATACCATTGTGGCTGCTTGTGGTGTTCGGGTGTTGATGTACGACGCCACCACGGGATCCGTTTTAAATTCCCTTAAAGGGCATACCGACACTGTTTACTGTGTTAGCTGCTCCCAAGACGGCAAGAACATTGCCAGTGGAGGGGCCGATAAGACGGTTATTCTCTGGAATAACAAAGGGGAGGGTGTACTGAAGTATCAGCATAAGGAATCTATACAAGCCTTGGCGTACAATTCCTCCACGGGACAGCTTGCCTCCGTGGCAAGCTCCGACTATGGTGTTTTTACTCCAGAAAGCGCGAAGGTAGGTAAAAACGCTTTGCCCTCTAAGGGACTCTGTGTTTCATGGTCCCGGGGCGGACAGACGTTGGCCATTGGGCTTTATGACGGTACCGTTCTCTTGTTTTCACCGAACAGCTCAGAGAAGGTTCTGGTTCAACGGAATGCCCCTGTTTGGGCCCTGGCCTTTTCACCCATGACAGAAGACGGTTTGGATGTACTAGTTGTGGGATCGTGGGATAGACGGCTTTCGTTTTACAACACGCAGGGAAAGCCCGTAAGCAAAGAGAAGGAACTTCCCTGTGACCCCTGTTGTATTTCCTTCTATGGAAATGGTAGTTATTTGCTGGTGGGTGGGAGCGACCACAAGTTGGCACTCTACACAAAGGACGGTAATTTGCTTGTGAGCGTGATAGAGGCCAATGACTGGGTATGGTCAGCTCAGCAGCGCCCTAGTAGCTCTCAGATTTGCTGTGGAACAAATGATGGCTGCATCAGTGTTATTGAACTTACATTAACGACGGTGCACAGCATATTCCACGATCAGTACGTTTACCGCGACAAAATGACCGATATTGTCCTGCATCAGCTAACACTTGATAAGAAAATACGTATTCCTTGTAACGACTACATTCGCAAATTAGCAATGTATAGGGACCGTCTTGCCGTACATCTTCAAAACCGAATTGTTGTTTTTGAACTTTTCTACGATGACGAGAGGCAACTGCGGTTTCAGGATATTGCCCATATCCGAAAAAAGCTAGAGTGCAATCTTCTCTGCGTGACGTTCAATGCCGTTCTTTTATGCCTTGAGCGGCGGTTAACCATGTTTGACTTTCAGGGTAATAAGTGCCGTGAGTGGGCCTTTGAAAGCCCTGTTCGCTACATCAAATTGGTTGGTGGTGCGGAGGGAAAGGAGGCTCTTTTACTTGGTTTAAAAAACGGTGCGGGGCTACGCATTTTCGTTGACAATCCCTTTCCCACAACGCTGGTGAAGATCAACAACCCGATTCGGTGCCTGGACCTAAGCTGCATGCGCGGCAAACTGGCCGTTGTGGACGATACGGAGTTGCTTCAAGTATTTGATCTGCGAAAAAAAAATGAGGTCTTGTTCACAGCCACTGGCGTTTTGGCCGTTGCGTGGAACACGGAATATGACGATATGATCAGCTACACCACATCGCTTAAAACACTGAATATTAAAACCGGCTCCCTTCCTCCCTATCAGCAGAAAATGCCTGGGTTTGTTCTGGGATTTAAAGCCAATCGTGTTTTTAATATTAACAACACAGTTGTTGACGTGGTGGAAGTACCACACTCGCATGCCCTCTATCGTTATGTGGAAAAGAAAGACTTGGATTCTGCCTACCGCATTGCATGCCTCGGTGTGACAGAAGGGGACTGGAAGATGCTTGGGATGCATGCTATGACACAATTACGGCTAGACATTGCACGTAAGGCATTTATCCGAATTCGTGAAGTGAGGTTTGTTGAGCTTCTCAACCGATTAGAGCTGGAACAACGTCAAGGCAGTTCCAAAGAGAATCCGGAGAATGACGCACTGCTTATGGGAGACATTATGGCGTATCAAGGCAAGTTCCAGGATGCCGCACGGTGTTTTTTGAAGTCGGGGCATGAGAACAGGGCCATTGAAATGTTCTGCGATTTAAAAATGTGGATGGAGGCGAAAAAAGTCTGCAGTAACGAGACACACTTGAAGGAGTTGATTCTCCAACAGGCTCGATGGGCAGAGGATTCGCAGAATTACGTGGAGGCGGCCTCCTTGTATCAAGCCTGTGGGGATGTGGGGAAAGCAATTGCGATGATGCGCTCTGCAGGAATGGTGGATAAAATGGTGGATATGTGTAGGGCGCTACCCAAGTCGGATGTGGCTCTTATCACGGAGTGCGCCGACTACTTCAAGAAACATGGTGCGAAGCAATACGCCTTGGAAGCATACGAAAAAGTGGGTGATATTCGTTCCGTGATTGCCCTTCATGTGGGAATGCAAGAGTGGCGGGAGGCTTTTGCTCTTCTTGAGCGTTATCCCTCTTACATCCGCGAGGTGTACATCCCATGGGCGAAGTGGTTGACGGATAATGGCAAGTTTGAGGAAGCCCTTGAGGCATATCGTCTAGCCAAATGGCCGAGAGAGGCAGTTCGCATGATGGAATCACTTGCAGCGAATAGTGTGGTCTGTCGTAAGTATTGCGACGCTGCTTTTTATTACATTCATCTTGCCAGAGAATACGGGGTGTTGGAGGATGGGCAACATCTGACGGAGGCACAATGGGCAACTCGCATGAAGCTTAGCGCGGAATGTGTCCGTCGTGCCGATATTTATTACGCGTATAACTTTGTTTATGCACACGCGACGCAGCCGTTTCCATACAACGAGGTGGTACTGTTCAATTTATCCAAGTACGTGGTATCCATGCTGTCTGGCGCTGTGGTTCCACTAAATGTGGGGAAAGGTGAAGTTCTCTATACACTTGCACGTGTTGCAAACCAACTGAATATGACACGCATTGCACGTGCGGCGCTTGAGCAGCTTCAGAGTGTGGTCCTCCCTATCAAAATTACGGAGCAGGTCGATGTTGACAGTCTTTTGATTCGCAGCAAGGCCTACGCTGACAAGGAAGAACTACAAGACGTATGCTTCCGCTGCAAGCAAACTGTCCCGCAACTCACGAATTCGGGTGACCGTTGTCCGAACTGTGCCCATCCCTTTGTCCGTTCATTTGTGAGTTTTCACGCTCTTCCCCTTGTGGAGTTTACATTGTCGAATGATATCAGCGATGCCGAGGCGGAACGTATTATTTTGGCCGGTTTTGGCCGAAAGGCTGCGGAATCAAGCAACGAGAACGGTGATACGAAGTACAGTGGATGGAAGGCAGAGACTGGTGCAGATGTGATTACATTTTCTGAGAAAGAAGATAATATAGACGCCATGATAGATCAACAAATGGCTGCTATGGGAAGGGGGCCTGCGACCGGGCGAGACCCGTTTCAGGCGCAATTAGCCTATGTCACACGTCCCGGTAGACCCAATGCGGAATATCAGCCATTTGTTGTAAATGCTGAGATGCTTCGTCGGATGCGTCGGGACGAGGTGTTTATTGTTAGGGCAGGATTTGGAACACTTCCAGCACAAAACAAATATTACCGGGTGATGGACCACAGTGTGGGCATCGTCCTTTGCCCCGTATGTCAACACTTCTTCAAGGATGAAGAATACGAATACGAATGCATGAAGGGTAACGGATGCCCGCTGTGTCGTCAGAAAATGGGACGGCGGCAGGAACGCTCTATGCAAAAGATTCTTAACGATGTTTTGAGTAATGAGCAATAGCGCCGTCAAAAGAATTTGTTGTTGCAGGTATATAAATATATATGGGGGGAAGGAGAGAAAGGGAGCGAAGACTGTGGTAAACCAAGCATAAGATGGCGGGATGACTATTATAGAATGTGAAGGGGTGTTATTGGCGCAATGTGCAATGGTAGAGGTGTGTATGTTTGTGTGTACGTCGTTTGCATCGTTGTTTTTCTGTGTGCCACTTTTTTTTTTTTTTTTTTTTTTTCAATTTGTTGCAGCTTCTACCCAATGTAAATTGAAATGCACGCACTTTTGTGTTGACGATCACAATTGTGAGTGTGGACGGTTGTTGTTTTTTCCCTCTATATATATATATATATGTATCCTGTGCAAGCGCAACCCAAATTGTTGTTGTTGGTTTTCATAATTTACTGTTCTCTGCAATATTTTCCGGCTTTTTTTCTTGTATTTTATGGGGACAACACTTGTCTTTTTTTGGGGGGGGCCTCAATGTCACTTGCGCGTTATTCAACGAAAAATGAGGTTTGTTGGACGGTTCCATCCGTGAGTTTTTGGTGTGTTGGTGAGGAGTGTGATGTTGTTGAGAGTACTACTGATCGTTGCGGCTTGGCTGCCGGTCATTTTTTGCGCCGGCGACGGAGAGCCCCACAAGGAAGAAGACGCATATCGTGTGTATTATGAGCCAGACAATACCACGCTGAGTGAGCAGCTCTTGTCCTCGCACCGAGTGCCTCTTCGCGTGCGGCTGGCATCGCCGATCGATGTGGAAAGTCTCATTTGGGCCATTCGACTCTTGGATGCGAAACGAGGCCAGTGCCCGCGCCTCGGTTTGTGGGAGATGTTGCGCGTGGCGTTCGAGAAGCTTTCACTAGAGGACATCTACGGTGTGGAGCGTCTGGAGACATTGCAACGGCTGCTGTCGGATGCGGAAAGCAACGATGGCACGGACGGGACGGAGAGTTGGGGGCAGGTCGAGTTGGAGTTGCCGGAAGGCGGCGGAGTGCTTATGGTCCATTTGGGTGACATCGTCTTGCAGCATCCACCCGGTTGGAAGGAAATCGTGCAGGTGAACATGGTGACTGCGTCACTTCGTCATATGCGAGGAGAAAAAAGACGGCAAATGAGGGATTACACCAAGAAGGTGTGGGAAAATCACCAGCGGCTGCGTCGTCTGCAGCAGCTGGACATTCAGAGAGCGCGGCAACGGCGTATTGAAGTTGCCCGTGAACGTTCAGAACGGTTGGCTTTGATGAAACAGGGTTCCGAATGGCGACGAAATATTACTGAACATGTAAAGCGTGAACGCTCCGTGATTTTGCTTTTAGACACGAAGAAACAGGATGGCCCCTCTTTTGCACAACGCGCGGGACGGTGTGAGAACATTCTTCACGCGATACACACGCTGCAAAGTCAACGAGTGCTGCCTACAGAAAGACGCATGCGTTATCTTCGAGAAAAAGAAAAAAAAGTCTGTGGGGACGTCTTTTATTCCATGGAGGACCTCGCCCGCCACGAGGAACATGAGATGTGCCACTCTCGCTGTTCTTCCTACTGCGAGGGTGTTGAGGCACTTGAGAACTGGACGAGATACACCGGGTCTGCCGCATCTGTCGTGCAGTTGCATGCCTTGTACCACAACGTCCTCTTGAGCACCACAGACTTCAACAACACGGCGGCGAACTACCTTTCCCTTCTTTTTGAAACTGTCTTGGATGACGTGGATCGGGGCGTATTCTCGACCTGTGCTGAATTGTGTATTCCATCCAAGAAACTGGTTGCGGAAATGAAATTCTTTGCTGGTGTCCTGGGGATTCTTGATCACACGCCGGAAGCAAATGCGGGAGTCAATAAATTAAGTGCGGTTTGGTGGGATCGTGCCCGACACGCGTATCTACACATTTGGAGCGCCTCACGTGCCGGTTCACGACGCGCCACAGCTGCCCTTGCAACAATGAAGGAGCATGGAATTTTAGCCCAGCAACAACATCGTGTAGCAGCAGTGCTGTTGTCCACGCTGCTGTTGGAGAAGCACGCTTACTTTTGGAGACAAGTTATGAGCGTACGCGCGCAGAGCTCGGGGGAGGCGGTACCGTCGTCGCAGAGGCTGTTACGGTTTGAGCGATTCTTTGCGGAAGAAAATGGTTGGAGATTGGTCAATGAACCATTTCTCACGCGCAATCGTATCAAGGCATTCCGTTCGGAAATTGACGAGGAAGACGATACGGAATCCAGCGTCCCCCCAGATGAGGTTCCCCTGACCATCCTGCAAAATATCTTCTTGGCGCAGCTGCACATTGCTGGGATTAAGGGAGTGCCCCGGGATTTAAAACGTGCAGAGTGTCTTCTTTTGCTACTGCTTCGAAAACTGCGGTACACGTGCGATGTACCACATTTGGAGGAATTGGATAAAAAATATTTTTCGGAAGCTGGCGGGGGCGGCGCATGCGAAGAACACCTCCAGAAGTTGTGCCTGCTTCGCAGGAGTGGGATTTCCATGGGACCCTGTGGACTTCTCAATGCAACGAGTGGATTCAAACTGCACCCGAGTTTACGGCTAATAAGAAGTTCAAAGAAAATTCATGAGGTGGTTCACAGAATATTGGTGCTGCTGGCCTATGTTCACCTTTTAAATGGACTCCAGTACGATATGGCTGCCAAGTATGCTTTTTTGGCCTTGGAGGTCAGCGCTGCGGTGTTTTTCTCCGCAACGGCTGAGCTACCCAAGGATGTGAAGCATAATTTTGTTGTGGGCAACATCAGTCACAATGAGAAGCTTGTAATGTTAAAGAATAAGAATTGGCCGGCAAAGGATTTGTTGATGAACGCTCTAAGGCGTGGTGATCCTCTGGATTCGTTGTTTGACTTCACGAGGTCTGGGTTTTTGTCATCTGAGAGTCTTGTGCTTCTTGCCATGAGTGCCTTTCGGGGCGGTGTGGCGGCGCAGCGATACATTTGTTTCACGACCGAACGCTTTTTTGGTGCTCGTTCATGCGTGGAGAAAAACGGTAGGGCGCCTTGCCGCACGCAGTGGACCTTTTTTCTTCTCCGGGAGGCGTCACGTCTGTGGGAGGATGAGGCGAAAATTCCTGGCATTTTGGACCGTAGCTATCCATCCCCACGTCTTGTTGACGCGTTCTTTCTTATGGCGTCTTTGCTAAAACGTGGGAAAATCACTGTTGACGATATACGCGAGGGGGAATTGTTTACCTCGCCTCGGTACGCTTCAGGCGCCTCCCCCCCTTTTCAGCCTTTTGGGAGCGATACATCTGAGAGTTATAGGAACAGGTTGCTGCGGTTTGCAAGAAGGGTGTCGCCCTTTGCGTTACCGGGACGTCGGGTCATGGTGTACGCTAAGAACTGGCAATACTTTATCACTCGTGCTACGCCCCCGCGGAAATTACGTGTTCTTCGCGCAGCCGTGCAATCTTTCCTAGAAGAACATGACATAAATCCTCTTTTGGCTGTTAGTGACATGCATGACTACTTAGATGGCACGCGTTGGTCGTGGTTGCAAAGCCTTTTTGGCACACTGTGGGACGCAGTTCTCTATCCATTTGCGCAGACACGTGCGGAGGCCATAGAGGACCAGTTGGTGAGGGAAGTGCTACCGAAAAAAGCTTTGGACGCTGAGCCTGTTAATATCACGGAGCGTTTTGCGGCCTCAGTGCTGAGCTCTCGCCACATTCGGGAAGCGACTATTGCGTTGCAGCTTCTTACCACAGCTTTGGTTTCTGGCGAACCCGACGGCTTCACGTTGATCCTGTTGGAGGAAATGGAGCGTGGCAACGGCCACTTGCGTAGCTTTGCACACTTCATCTCGGAGCATGTATGGGGAGAAAGCCTGGCAAACGTGTGGATGGAGGAGCACAAGGCGGCCCAGTGGCATCATGCGAAGCCAAAGACGCGAGGGCGGGGTCCTGTCTTTGCCGCTGATTCGCGCATTCCTTTTTACTATGCCTTGCCCGACTCGAGGTTGGAACTTTTTGCTCAAATTGCCCTCAAGCTTGTAGAGACTCGGAAACAATACGCCATGTCAAGCGGTTGTGTAACGGCGCATTCAAATTGCACGGCTTTTCCAGCGATCAATCAGGAAATTATTCGCACCATGGCATTATGTAGTGGGGTGTTGATTGAGACCGCTGTACGTAAGGGACGCTCTTTTATGCCACGGAAGCCGTACGAGGGGATGTATTTCCCTGTAGGGAGTCTTCGCTGCCTCCAGGGCCTTCTGCAATATGTGCAATCCACGGGTATTTCACCATTTTCTGGCCTCAGCGCTAAGGCTGCTGAGCTGTTGCTTCTGGATCTGCTTGTTGAGTTGGCGAAGGCACAGGCACAGTACTATGACCTTTCTCTTGATGCCCTTGGCTCTAGCAGCAGAACTGGCTCAGATGCTGCTGATGCCAATCAAGAGGACGCGAAGAAGAATTATCGTAAGTACCTGGTGGAACCGTGGAGACGATTTTTCAATGAGGGAGTGGAAGACATTCCCCTGCCAGGACTCGGCGAGGGTGCGTATTACAACAAGCGCTTGCATCGTGTCACGGGAACGTATTATGCCGCGCGTATGCTCAGATGGTATGCCAGGACAAAAATTTGGCTGGAACAGTTTTTCGGCGTTGCGTGACGAATGGATATTTATTTGTGTGGATGTTGGCTGGTGCGCTCAACTTGGCTACTGTTTGCCGCTGTTGCGTCTCCTCCATTGGCCTTTTAGTGGCTTCTTGAGTGTCGCCAGGGTCAGCCTGGAATGTGTGGGGGGAAGTGATGATGCGAGTACCCCTGTGCCAAGTTCTCGCTGGTGTACCTCCAATCCTGTTTTCGTTTTTGCTTTCTGTTTTCAATTGAACCCCACTACAGGAATCGATACCGAGAGAGAGAAAGAGAGACTAAGAATGGAAAGGGCTGTTTTGTTCCTGTTGATTCCTCCTTTTGCCTGATATCGAGTTATCCAATTCCGCTGGAAGTGGGCTCAAGCCATGTCATTTGCGGCATCCCTTTTTTTTTTTCTGTGTTTCTTGCTTTCTTGTCGCAGAAGGATATTTTTATTTTTTTTTTTTTTTTTTTTTGGGTATTTGGGGGGAGGGCGGAGAAAAACATGTCTTCTGCCAGCCGTGCGCCATGGCGACGACTCCTCTTTCTTTTCATCTCTACACTTTTCTGCGCACTGCGGTCGCCAGCGATGGCCGACACCGTGACGCTGACGGACCCCACCACGGGTGAAGTGGTTCTGCTGACGTCTGGCAAGTTACACTCCACCGTGGCTTCGTCTTCTTCTGTTGTGGGACTGTGGCCACACGGAGACGGGCGCGATGATGACACCGCTTTCTTCAAGAGGGAAGATGACGCGTACGAGGAGTGGACGAAGAAGAAGAAAAAACAGATGCAGTGGGAGCAACAGCAACGGAAAGAAAACGAGAAAGAAGGCAAAGAGAGTGACAACAAGGAGAGTCCCAAGAAGGCGTCGAGATCAAAGTTAGAGGAGTTTTCCGCGGAGGCTGTGAAGTCCCGTAGTAAAGCCCGTCGCCAACACCTCAACGAACTCAAAAACATCTCTTCTTTTGAAATTGCATGGAGTGACGTCCGCGCTGACTCTGATCGTGTGGAAAAATTTCTCCATGACTTTTCCTCCTCCGCTCCCGATGGAGCTCCCGGAGGTGGCCCTGAAGAACAGTACACTCATCTCCTGAAAACCGTGTTCCGTCATACAGTGAGAAACATGACAAGTAAAGAGGGGTTCCTGTGGATTGAAAAGCGGATGTGTGCCCTCCCGTACCCGATGGTTCTTGAAGGGAAAGTCGTGGAGCGTGTTGAGCGGGAAGTGCGAGAAATTAAGGAGCGCATGAATAAGTTGGACTTGGCATGGCGCGCTGCGAATATAACTGAAAATCTGGAGGATATTAACTCCACCATGATGCAGATTAGAGAAAGTCTCAGTGAATCTGAAGAAATTATCAACGCCAGCAGAGAGGCACACAAGATTGTTCTTGAGCTTGTGCTTCCGCTCATACCAAATACTCGCCAGAGTGTCGCTAACCAGCTACGGGAGATCAATGCCAAGATTGTAGGAAATGACGAATCCACCGCCCTCTTGCGTCAGCAGTTGAAGGAATGGACTCGGCGCAAAAGTATTCTCAAGACCTCTAATGAAAAGATAATGAATGTGGAATTGGAACTACGCCGGGCTGTGTATAGTAACTCGCTGCTGTCTGAGAGGGATTTTATTTTCTCTCTTGCTCTGATTGCTAGGGCACGTCTGGGACAAAACACAGGAATTGAAATTGTGGATGTGGTCACGGGCCTTGGGACATGTGTCTCGCTCACCGCCGCTCAGGAGGCGGAGTTGAAAGAAACCCTCTCCTACCCGCTTGGAATCACTCTGCTGACCGTCGGTAGCGTCGGTTGGGTGATGTTGGAAGCACGCGCCTTTTGGTTGAAGCGGGTGCGGAAGTCATTGGCTTCTTTGCAGCATCCGCCTGACGTGGGCGGCCATCCGCGTAGGCAAGTTTCTTTTGTGCGTCTCTGTCTCCGAGTGAACCTGCTGCTGGAGGCGATGGTCCCGTTAGTAGTCCCATCATTTCTTCTTTACAGTGCAGTTAACAAAAAAAAAGGGGAGGTTTCTCTCTATTCCATTCTTCTTTTTTCAAGGCCGGCCCAACGGCTTGCAATGTTTGGGGTGGCAGTTGCGTTCTGCATCCTGAGCATCCTCGTGTCGTCACTGGTGGGTGCGCTGTACAGGTATGCGTCGGCCTCGTCGCCGCGGCGGAAGGTGAAAAAGAACTGAAGAAGAAGAAGAAAAGGAAACAATAATCATAATGAGGAAAAGACAAGAAAAAAAAAAAAAAGGAAGTGAGTTGGAGCGATGATGCGCCATCAATACGGTTTCTTGTGTGGATTGGGAGGGGGTGGAAAATTCCGTGTGTGTGGGCAGGTGCGACACCCCATTTTGTTTCTGTTGTTGTTGTTGTTGTTGTTGTTGTTGTTTTTGGTAAATTCACAAGCGGTGGAGGCGCATCGATTCCACATTTTGAGAAAAGAAGGGGCATTTTTGATTCATCTCTCTCTCTCTCCCTTTCTCTCTCTCTCTATATATATATATATAAATATATTCCATCCATTTATTTATCCCCTCTTCCTTACTGTGCGGAGGGAAGCAGAGATGAACAGATTTCTTTTTTTCTTAAAAGAAAAAAAAAGGGAGGAGTGCAAACAAATGGGTGTAAATGGAAGAATGTAGTGTTTGAGGAATTTTGACTGCCTTGTCTTGTTTCCTTTTGCTTCGCTCGTTTGTCGTTATTCCTGCTGTTGTATTAATAGTGATTGCCGCGAGGGGTTGCGCTGCATGCGTGCCTCGTGGGTCCTGACAGATGTGCTCTCCATACCGCTCAGTAGAAGTTGCATCAATGTGGCACGAGCGACGTACTCCAGTAGGCATGCACGGCAGATGGAGCGTCTTTTTGGTCCAGCGTGGCATCACGCCGATTTCTCGCGGACGGCGGTGGGAAAAGTGTCGGGCGCAGTCCGCGATCATCTGCGCACATCATTGGGACCAAAGAAAAGCGCCGAGTTGCGTGCAAAGGCGGTAGAGTTGGGGCTTGTCTCAGACGAGCATGACACGCCTTCCGTGGAATTCGGCGGTGAGGGCAGTTCATCGTCAAGTGACCCACTGCTCGAGTTTTTGGAGAAGAACGAAGACGAGGCCGCCCTTTTGCTTGCCATGTGGACCTCGCTGCGTCGCAGCTGCTTGCATGCCTCGGAAATATCAGAGTCCATCTCGCTCACTGCAAGGTGGTTTTTGCACCATCTCATCCGTATGCGCGCCATTGCAGCCGCGGCGCATTTTTACCAGCGACTTTTGGCGTTGGGGTTGCAATTGCAGAAGTGGGACGTCGTTCTGCTGCTGAGTAATTTGCCCTACGATCGTTGCACAACCGTGGCAGCGTCCCAATCCGATGAGTGGATGCGGAAAAAACGCCTGTCGCAATGGGCAGCGAGGTGGGAGCGTGAAAGGAGAAAAGGAGGTGAGGAAATCAAAGCGAAACCCAAAAAAGGGGCAAATAATGCGAGATACGAGAAACTGGGAGATGAAGCGGGGGAGCGTCGTGGCCCGGAGGCGGGCGCCGCCGCGTCGATTAGTGCCTTTTCGCCACAACCCACGGATTCAGCGCACGCGGACGCCCCCAGCAGGGACTCGGGTGAGACGGTTAAAAACGCACTGGGAACTGTGAAGAAAACGCCTTTGCGGCACCCCGATTGGGTCAGGCGGTGGCTTCTCTACGAGGCTTCCATGGGAAATATTGAGTTTCCCGATGGCGAGGAGTGTTTGCCTGCCACGCGTACTGAAAAGTTGGATGAAATTTGTTGTACTGACGCCTTGGGGGCTCATGAAGAATTGCTGCAGGATTCGTTGGAAGCAAATTGTCTGATGGGATTGACGGCTCAATTGAAACATCTTATGGTGCTGCAAGATGCCGGGATTTTTCTTGAGACAAAAAAAAAGAGGGACTCACAGAAGTCTGCCACCAACGTCTGGAGATGTACACCCGCCAGGAGGCATCGTCGCTACTGGGCGGAGGCACTTCATATTGCAAGCATTTACATGGATTCAAGGCCAGCAACAAAACATGTCACCTCGCTTCCCGATGAACTTCGTGATGTCATACGGCGGGCGGTGATGTGCTCTGGATCTTGGAAAGTGTGTCTCCATTACCTCGAGGCGAATCAGCGGCACAAGATCAAATTGAGTAGGAAGGATTATGCAAAGTTTGTGTTGATGGCTGCTGAGGAAGAGCCATGGCGAAAAAATCCTTCAATTGAACAGTATATGCTGCATCATTTTATTCCGCATTTTTCGGATTTAACGGCAGCCAGCTATGCAGTTCAGGCTATGTGGCTCGCATATGCATGCTCCGTCAAGCTGGATCGACCAGAGAGCTACGTGGAATTGATTGGAACTCGTGCAATGAATCTCCCTTCGGCAATAAAGGGGGCCATTATGTTTGCCAAACTTGCGGTATCACATCTGCACATTGAAGTGGAACGATACCGCACAGAGGCTGCAGCTGAACAGTTACTCGCCACCTCAATTCGACTGGGTTTGTTTTCACATGTTGGTGAGTCCATGTCAGAGAATGCCCCTTCTTCTTTGACAGAGCCAACCGAAAGGCCCGCATCTGCTCCTCTCACTGGTGTAATTCTTCCAGAGTGGCTGAGAGATTCTTTCCTGTTGGTCTGTATTTGTCTTCCCCGAGTTCTTGCTTTGGCGCCTATTCTTGTGGTTTCACAAGACGATGCGGTTCAAATTAATTCCTTTCTGCTGGATGCATTGTACAGTCGCATTGGTGTATGGGGAATATTTTCCAGATTGTACTTGGTGGAACCCTTTGCCCCTGCACGTCGAACCCAAGAGACGTCATTCATGGCCGCTTCAATGGCCTTATGTGTTCTTCGTGCTGCATTGGCGCTGTGTGTGGCTCACGGCGAGTTCTCATTACAAAACCGAGGCGTCGCTTTGTTCACACCAAAGCAACTAAAGCTTTTTTTAGGCATGGGATTGGAGGCTTTGACTGCCATTTCTTCCCATGCATCTGGCAGCGCGGAGTTGCGATCCTTCATGTTGATTTTAGTGCGGACTGCCTCCCGGTTGACAACGGAAGTGTGCCGCTTCTTCAGCCTTAACCCCGGTAGTGAGAGAGTTTTGTTTGGTGTCACCTCTGAGGAAACGGTGGGGTCTCTCAGCCTCATGGTTCAGATCCTCCTGCTTCTGCACGCGGATACTCCTGGGCGGCGTTTTCCAGTGGCCACACAATTTCGCCTTCGGTCCCTCCTTCGACCCAACAGTGGATTGGGAAAACAGGTCCGACGCTCCCTGCGGCAAAAGGAAGCACGTCAATTGGATGCTCTTCTCTGCAGGCGAGGTCGAGGGAAGGCCCGTAATAGTGATGTTTCCCCCATTGCACAGCGTCTCCGGGTCTTTTCTCCTGAGGATGTTGCACGGATTGACGCAACAGCAAAGATGCATAAATTGGTTTATTTCGCCGCTATAAGTCATGAAAATGATATCACTGCCATTGAGGATGTGCTCATCTCCCGTCTTCAATCAATGCAATCGGATGATGCCTTTTTACTGCTGCGTGTCGCCCTCCATCACCTGCGTTTGCGTCCTGGAACCTTTGGGATGCCGTTTTTTGTAAAGGTATTGCAGCGTCTTTGCATCGGCGCGACAAGTGAAGCTCAAGGGAAATCCTTATGGTTGAGGGCCATCTCGGTGTATTGGGATGCCGTGGAGCACACCGCGTGTCATTCCATTTCTATTAATGGAGCACAAGTCAACAAGAATCAGAGTTTTCGAAATTACGAGAGAGATGTTTTGTCGGCGCTTCTTTTGCCAATGTTGCAGCTTAGTATGGCGATGAAGAGAAGAGACATGGGGTGGGTTTGGTTGAACCACTGGGTTTCTCTGCACACACCTGCAGAACGTGACACGTATTGGGACATGCGTAACGTCCAAGCAAGGTCGACCCTTCTTGACAGGCGTGCGCTGCACATGTCTCTTAAACTCATCTTGAACGCACAGCGGAGGGAGGCAGTGGAGGGACCTTCCGTAGAATTAACACCAGCCCCGTTCATATCTCTCCATTGTGAAGTTGCCGTGAGACACGCAAATTGGCGAGTAGCCTTGGATATTTTGCTTCAACCCTTTGTTCGCTCTTTAAACTGTGGAAGTTCCGTTACACCACTGCCAAATATTGTTGCTGGTTCGGCGTTGCGTATTCTCTGTCGTGCCCCCACAAACATGTCTAACACCGCTCTGCGGCTGCGGGAGATTCAGGGCGACCAGTGGGATCTTCAAAGTGCCAATGCGCTTCTGTTGTTGCTTGTGCGTCAAAGACGGTGGAAAATTGCTCTTCAGCATGTTAAGGAGATGCTTCCGGCGTTGGACAGGGCGAGCACCGCCACCGGCAGCAGTAGTAATAGAACGGAGAAGAGTGAAGAACAGCTGAAGATGAACCAGGCATTTTTTCTTCTTTACGGTCTACGGGCGTGTGCCATAGGTGGATGCGGGGAGGAGGCCGCAGAGTTGTACGACCGTGTCAAGGTGTTGCTCACGGAAACGCGGCCTGACACTGCGTTGAAGAATGCGGTTACCCACGACCGTGGAAAGCATCTGGAAGAGTTGCTCTTTGCTTCCTTTGAGCCTGATGAAGTAGCGACAACTATGTCTTCTTCAGGTGATGGAAATGATCAGCTGCGCATTGTTTCGGGCCAAGCGCGCCGTTACTTTCTTCGCGCCATGACGAAGAAGTGTTTGTTCTCGCAAGGACTTCATAAATAACACGTACTGTGGTCGGTAATTGTTGGACGTCCTTTATGTGTGTAGTTGTTGTGATTGTTGTGATTGTTGTTGTTCACTTCTTGTGTGGTTGTCTGTGTCTGTTTAATTTATTTATTTATTTTTTTTTGTCTCCCCACCGCCTGACTGCACGGAGGTGCGGGGGAAAGGAGGAGGGACTTTTCTATTTTGTCCCCCTCCGTGGTCAATAGCCACTGCACTGCGGCAGACAGAGGCGCGGAATTATTGACAATTAAATGCAAATAAAACTAACTTTATTATTATTATTGTTGTTGCTGCACTCTTTGTTTTTGTCGTTGTTTTTGCTAAAATTTCTTCCCAATCTGTTTTTATTGTGAACACACACACACAAATGTTGCTCAGAGTCTCAGCGGGAGGGGCGTGGGAGGGATCGCTCGGCACCCCAGCTGCCTGCGGCGTCCACTTGCACTTGGCGGCGAAACGGTGGCGCACGGCTTTAGAAGACGAGGGAAAAGCGGGAGAACAGAGCGCGGTCCAAAGGGCAGAGATTGAGTAAAATCAGGCAAAAGGAGCGGAATTCGAGGAAAATAGGCGGTGACGCGCTCAATGGCTCACTCACTGACTTGGAAGCTCCTCGGTCCTGAGCAGACGCACGAGTGTCTCACGGCGCCTGATGTGCCATCTATTCGCTCCGTATTGAAGAAAATTGACGAAGCCTGCGATGGAAAACTCATAGGTGCGGCAAAATACAACGAGGGGAAAGTAATGATCGTTCTGGATATGCTTGCCCATCTTATTCTTTTCTGTAAGTCACGTAGCATGTCACCAGAGAAGGTCAGCACTCTTGTTGGAATTGTAATTAAGATTCATGAGGAAAGCATGTCAGGTGGATACACACGCGCCAAGTCTTATCATCTAATGCGGGATCTCATGATAAAGCACAGCGTCCCGCGACCCCCATTTTCCTGTGGTGTTTTTACTGTACGGGACGCACAGGAAATTGATGAGTACATGTTGCGGTCATATTACCGCCACTACAAAATGTATTTTTATGCCTTTGTGCCACGACAGGTGATGAATGTCCGCTGCCTAGATGTAACTCACATTCATCAGATACCGCCAGTCGGACTGCCATCGCTGTCCGCTGCCGTTGTTGAGAGTGAGTGGCGGACCAAAGTGGAGGAGCAGCGGCGCGAGGCCGAGGAGCAGGCCATGCAAGAGGGGGAGATTGCCTCGGATGCATACGAGGAAGAGAGAATGCGGAATCGGTTACTTGCTGATCCCCATTATAGTGATGGCATTCGGGAACAACTTGAGTGCATCAAGAAGGAAGTATCCTCCAAAGCTGTTGACCGCCTGGACGAGATTGAGATGAGGCTGCAGGAGATTGAGAAGAAAGTGGCGGAATCCCTTGCGTGGTCAGATTCCAAACAAGGAAGGCGCAAGAAATAAAGCGTTCCGCGTGTTTTGGAGTGTGATGGTATAATGTACAGAAAACAAGAAGAATATTGTTTTTTTTTTTTCCTCTTCTTTTCTTTTTCATAAATAACTTGAGTGGAGAAAAAGGATTATTCTTTAAGTGCATGTACGTTTGAATGGAGGTATAATTTTTTTTTTCTTTTGTTTGTTTTTTGTTTTTGTTGTTGTTGTTATCATTTTTAATTTAGAGGAGCGTTGGCAACGTGGATCGTCATGCTGAAGCGCGGGTGTTGCCATGTTGCCCTGGGGGCCGTGTGGGAAGTCACTTCACTGTTAATTTCAAGGCGAAGTCATGCTGCGACAGCCCCGCAATCGGGTGCAAATTTTAATCCACGCCGCGTACGACTTGTTTCTTCTACGTCAACACTCGGCGCAGGTGCGGAGTCGTTGCCCGTGGATGTGAGCCCTTTGTCGTCCGATCCAAACGATCCCTACAGGCATGTCTGCATCTACCGCAAGGACATGGTATCAGACGTTGGTGGTCGCGCATTTCAACTTAGTGTGGATGTGCCGCTGAAAAAATTTGTGGACCTTTTTAGCGATTTTGATGCCAAACGGTGCAAACTGTGCAACGAAAGTTACATGCAGTGGCACAGCCATAGCGGAGTTATTCCTCATTCAGGTCGAGAGGCGCTGATGCTGGAGATGGTGCGTGCATATTGTGGTACACCTGAAGAAATTGCAAAGATGTGGTGGCACCGCCTTCATACCTCTCCGGTTTTTAACCGCATTCCCTCCCTGAGCCATGAGAACAGTCATATTCGTAAACGTCGGCTTCAGTACTTACTTCAATTTTTAAAGGAACGAGATGTCATTCGGGACACCTTTAATGTGCAGCAGAGCGCTGGAGGCGCTGGTCGTTCATGGGAATTTGAACGCCTTGAGTGGATTGGGGATAACGTGGTGAAGTATGTTTTCAATGATCGTTTTAATGTCATTTTTCCGGTGCGCGAGGGTGGGATCCGTGGTCGACTGGGCTACGCTCAATTCATGATTGACGGCAATGACGGGCTGGCAAGGGCATATGATCATCTTGAGCTGCAGAAGTTGACACTGAGCGATCGCGTTGTAAGCAAATTCAAGAGTGATGTGGTGGAGACGCTTTTTGGGGAGCTGCAGTTATTCTTGTGGTCTTCAGAGACAGACGTTGGTACCACGTACTTTGAGTTGCCCTTTACGCCGGAGATGTTTTCTCTTAGGGCACTTGTGTGGCATGTGATGGAAGAGCTGGCGCACGTCATGTTCATGTATCACGTTGAGCACATTCTTGGTGCGATTCAACGCATTGTCCGGGAGCATCAGCTGCAGTTTATCCGCGCCGATCCGTCGCTCCGCGGTCACACGGACCTTCAGAATGAGCTGGCGAGCACCCTGTACGCCAAGAAGAGTTTGACAGGATCAGGAAAACTGACACCGACGAAGACGTCCCCTAGTTTGCGATTCAAAGACGGCTTTGCCGCGTTGTACCATGAATCATCGAATTACGACGGGTTTAAACGTGTGTACGCACTCGGTGGTCTTTTGCCACGCCCCTTTTCTCGCGAGGAGTTGTCAGCGACACCATCATTCCTGCCGCACCTGCAGGAGGATGGAGTGATGGCCAGCCGGGTGCCGTCAGACTGGTGGTCAAAGCTGATGGACACGACGGAGGAGGACGCGGCGGTACGACAAGGTGTGGTTTCTACTTTATCGCTATCATCTTTGCATGCCGCCGTGACACCGACACCACATCCGCGCTCGGACGCTGCAGTGACACCACATCTAAGCGTGCCGGAACTCAAAGACAACCTGTTGGTGGCGGAACTGGTGTAAATGGAGGGGGTGGGGAAGAGCATCCGTTGTGGAAACTGCTTTTTATTTTGTGTGTGCGTGGGTATGAGTGAAAGAGAGGAGGAGGATTTCACATGTGCAGCTGTTGTTTGTTAAGGCTGAGCATTTTTTTTTGTTTTTGCTGGTAATACTGACGGTGAATTCTTGCCGGCTGTCTCCTTTTCTCCCATTTATTGACTTTTCCATCGTCACTGCTTTTTTTTTTACCCATGTCTCTTCCCGTACACGAAATGACACGTTGAGGCTGGGAGAGAGAGAGAGTGAGAGAGGCGTGCAACGTTCACAAGGCGGTGGATAGAGTGCACAGTGAGTGAGCCTCGAGAGTGGTGCTGCTTCCCCTGTGTGAGTGGGTTTTTGTGCGTTTGCCGTTGTTAGAAACATTGCCATGTCTCGGAGCCAAAATCAGGACGGAGAGGAGGCGACTGGCCGCGTGTCCGCGCGTGCTGTTCTGAGGACAAAGACGGCGTTTCAAATCTACAAGGACGATGGCGCACAAGGGAATGTCAGTGACTTCAGTACGCTTCCCAATGACGAGGTGCTGCCGTACAAGATACAAGCCGACGAAATGACTCTGATGGGGGCCCTTGAAATTGTCGAGGCAGACCCCGCGGACCGAAGGATGTATGGACCCGCCACCCTGCACCTGGTGGTTAACTACTTGTCCGACATTCTCTCCTTCATCCCACTGGGGGGCCGTTCGCACGAGTTGCCGACAGTCGCCATAAACTACAACGCCCTTCAGCGTGTCGTGGCCCTGTACGGGGTCCCAGAATCCGTGAAGGACGCACTCGCGCAGCTCGCCGCATCATATCTCAGCGCCTCCGAGGTGCCTATTCGTGACATTTCTTCCTTGCTGGATAAATTTAGCGACACTGAAAAGGCCCTGCGGCATGAATTGCGTGACGCGGGGGAAAAGGTTGGGATATTTACAAGATCCACCGTCCCTGTCTCGACGTTGGCGACAACAGGTGAGACGACCATCAATGATGTTGTCGCCCCTGCAGCGACCTCACAGAAACTCCCGCGGAAGCGCCGGGCCTCCTCGCGGGATGAAATATTGCCCGCAAGAAAAACAGAGGAGGCCGACACGGCGCCACAAATTAAGGTGATGAAAATGGAAGGGCATGAGAAGGCACCCAGTAATGCGAAGAATAACAATTCGCAGTTGACATTGCAGCGACTGACGTATGGCCGCCTGCGGACGCTGACAAGTCAAGAGAAGAAGGTTGTCACACTCCTGAATCAAATGACTCAGGTTCTTGGTCAGGTGTATGCGGTACGGTACAATAACCTGCTGCCTATATTTGAACTTCTTGAAAATAGGGTAAAACAAGCACAAGAAATCATCGATGCGGAGCGTGCCAACATTCAGTCTAAATCCGAAAACACCGAGTTATCGCCTGAGCCGTTTTTGGAAGTGACACTGGATGGCATTTTGCGGGCGATTCAAAATGCTTCTTATCGGTTTAAAACCGATGAGGAATGCCGCTATGAATTGGATGAGGATTTACTTCACCCCATTGCACACGCCTGCATGACAGAAGTTAACCGCATTGAGGGATTCACCACGTTGCCTTTTGAAGGTCCATCCAACCAGGCAATTAAAGCCAAGGCCAAGGCACGCGAAGCCGCGCGAGCAAAGCGGGAGGAGCAACGTGCAAAGGCTCTTGAGCGGGCAAAGGCTAAGGAAGAATTACAAGCAAAGAGAGAGGAGGAGCGAAAGCTACTACGTGCCCACCTGGGTGAATTGGACCCGACGAGCCTCGTGGAGGACATGAGTATTAAAAACCCCATTCAAACCGGTTACGTGCGCTATAGCAAATTGCCGCTGGAACCGCCTGAAGACTACGAAAGGGCCCTCTTTATTTGGGTCATGATTACATCGCTGCCCAGACCGCTTCATCTTTCACAGATGCCGTTTAGTTTGTTTCTAAAAGGCCTGTTGTCGGACGAAGGATGCGATAATGGGCTTATGGAGGAAGTTGTGCTTGCACTGTTAAATTTGGCGATGGAAGAACTACGCTCCTCCAATGGTCCGAAAGTCTTGACACGAGGTAAAGACTGGTTCGGCAGCATGGTTGAGTTTGTGGCGGTATGCAGCGGTAACAAAAAGACACGCCCACCGCGGCGCCCGAAGGTTGTCTCGTACGAAGAAGAGGAAGAGGAGGAGGAAGAGGAAGAGGAGGAGGATGACAGTGACGAGACGGGGGACGAAGAAGAGGAGGACAGTCGAAACACAGAATGGGAGGAGGAAGGAGACGATAATGATGATGAAGCGGAATCCGCCGAATCAAACGGGGAGGAAGAGGGAAAAGTGCAAACAGAAGGGGAAGAAAAGAAGGAAAGCCTGAAAAAAAAAAAGACCCCAGAAAATGAGACAGACAACTTGGACGCGGGGATAAAAGCCACGCTGGAAAAAGTAGCGGAGCTGCGGCAAATGGCCGCTTGGGGTAACGTGGACATAGAGGATCGGTTAAATCTTTTGCGTTACATGGTGTTGGCGGCTCTTAGCTCTCCCGTAGCGAGGGAAGGGGCGGAAAAGATTAGAAAGATGCATGAGGATATGCAGGTAACGATGGAAAAGCGAACGAAGGAAATTCGAGAAGGAGTCCATAAGGAACTTACTTCTTTTTTTCGGCATTTTTCTTCTTCGAAATCAGCGAAGGGCAACTCCGAGACATATGAATCCAAGCGGAAGAAATTGATTGAAGAGATGGAGCAGAAGCTGCAAAATATCGTGAATGAACATTTGGGCATGCAGGACGGAAAAGACATTGGTGCCCTTATCCGCCCACTCGGTATGGATCGCTACCGACGAATGTTTTGGCGATTTCCATTTGATCGTCACGTTCTTGTTCAATCGACTGCTGCCACGGATCCCAACTTTCCCATATTGCCTGAGCCACGAGAACTTTTGACTGAGAGCGTGAAGGATCTAAAACCCAAGTTGCTTGATGACTCAGATGAAGACAACTTCAGTAATGGAAATGGCAATGGCCATACGAACCACAGGGAAGATGTTACGCAGCGGGTGTGGGGCACTGTGCCGCCGGAATATTTAGGGCACTTCATTGAGGGATTAGACCAGCGGGGTGTAAGAGAGGCGGCGCTCCGACGCACACTTGAATCCATTCAGCCCTATTTGCTTAATTTGAAGGAGCCGCCAGTTAGCCGTGTGACTCGGACGCGGTCTCACAGCTTTGGCTATTTCAATAAGTTGAAAATTGAACCATAAGAGACAGACATAAAGACAGATAAATGTATACACACATATACATTTACATATATATATATATATGCATCGAATACTATAGAGGGGGAGATGAATTATGCAATAAAAAGGAAGTAGAAACGGGGTGGCACTGAATTATCTGCGGTATATTGTTGTTATTGTTCCTGTTGGGCAAATGTCACTGCGGCCGCTGATTGCTTTGACTTTTATCTGGGGGATTTCAAGCTCCTTTGCTATGTTTCTTCGTTTTCTGTTGTTGTTGTTGTTGTTTTTGTATGTGTATGCATGTGTTTCTTTTTTTTTCTCTCTCTTATTTATTCAGGGGAAAGGAGGGAATTTGTTTGTGTTTCAGCGAAGATCTGCAAAACATGCCCATCCATGAGGTGAGATGGCACAGTCCACCAAAGCCGGAAAGAGAATTCCTCTCAACCGGATTGTTTGTTGCACTCCGTCGTCGTTAAAACGGAATTTATACGCCGATTGATAGAAGTGTCTACCTATCTCTCTCATGTGTGTCTGTGTGCTGAATCTTCTGCCTTACAGCAGACATTTTTATGCTTTCACCTGCTTTTCTTCTTTGGCACCTTTTGTGTGCGCGGATTTTTTTTCCCTTTATTTTTATTTTTTTATTTTTTTTATTTATTTAGAGCTCTGAAGTTATGCGGACGATTGACTGTGAGTTCTCCCACTTCGCGGTGCATCCCGGCCACGGCCGCCGCTACGTGCCCTTCGCGTTCCTGTCGACGAAGCCCGTCCTGACGTTTGCCCGCCCCAAGTGCTTCGCCATGTACATGCGCAAGAAGAACCCCCGCTTTGTCCCGTGGACCCGCACGTACCGCCGCATCAACCGCAAGATGACAACCGACCGCGTTGGCCGTCGTCGCGCCGCTCGCACCGTGAAGGTGGAGCGCGGCATCGTTGGTGCCGACCTCTCCTACATTCAGGAGGTGCGGGCCAAGACGAAGAAGGTCGACCGCTCCGCCAAGGGCAAGGCAGTCCGCGCGGAGATGGCCGAGCGCAAGGCTGCGAAGAAGTGAACTGTCGGCTAGCCAGTCTCAGTTGTGTTTTGTTTCACAATTTTTATTTTTTTTTATTTTTGGTTACCCGGCGCATGTGTCCGTGTTTATTGTGTCTCTCTTTGCTCTTTCTGGCATGCTGTGCGTGAGAGCTCTTCTCTTTTTTGATGCTTCATCCTCTGTTTTCTCCTTTTTTTTCTTTTTTTCTGTTTGGCGGAGTTTATTATTATTATTAGGGCTGATGTGTCGTGCTGATGGCAAGCAAGTGGTAAAAAGGAATCTGGTGGTGGCCGTTCTTGCTCTGGTCTTCTCTTTTGTTGCAGTGGATTTATACTTGGCATCAGAGGATGTGCGATTATCCGCGGAGCCTGCACCGCGTGTGTCAGAGCTTGCCAGATCCTCAGGGGTGCGTCTTGCCATGTTGCCGTCTCCTCTCAACGAAGTCACCCTGCTGGTGGCAAAGCCCTTTGGAGCAGCGGATGTGTCTCACAAGTTGGCGCGTTTTTTCACAAAGAATGTGAAACCGGCTGCTTCTGAGGAAAATACTCGCGCATTGAATTTCCGGAGCGAAAGTGAGATCATGAAGGAGTTGCTTAGCTCGGCCTCCGCGAACATGGGTGACGAGGCAAAGGTGCTTCATCTCTGCTCTGCCAACTCCTGCGTCGGGCCATACCTCTCACAGCTCCACGCAAAGCGGGCCAAACAGTCGCTTGGACGTTTGATAAAAGTATACGCTTTGGTGTACGGTGATTTTTTCGTGGGGCGTGGCGTTGAAAATGACCTTCAAAATCTTGGTGTACTGATCTCCACAGTTGATTATCCGTCGAAGGCAGAATCTGCCATGCCGCTTATTGGTGTGATTGACGAGAAGAAGCCCAACATCGCAGCGGATGCAATCTGCTCGGTCATAGAGAATAGCTGTCAATACAGAATATGGGATAAAGGCACGCAGCCGCAAATTCCTGTTTCACTGATTCCATTCAGCTCGGTGAGCTTTGGCAATTCACCCCTTTTAAGGACGCGGTTTGATGTGGTTCACATTGATGTCAACTGGGATGAGGCGCTAGCTTCCATTTGCTTCCTTAGAGGTGTGCTCTCTTCATCCTTTCGTCCTTCACACATTTATTTGGCAGTATATGCATCACCGCTACTCGAGGATACATTGCTTTTGGTGAACACTCTTCGAGAGCAGGCGCACTATCATGTTTTTCTTGCTGGGGGACGGTGCATGGCCGCCCATGGTGCCTCTGATGTGCTCTCCCATGAAAAACTGAGCAAATTGCTGCGATTTGAGAGTCCTCAGCTTCCTTCAAAGCTGAATTCGCGTGGATATGCAATGGAACCCCTTTGTATGTTGTTTCTCTCGCAGTCCTTGGAATCTTTACCGCAGCTGCTTCAGCGCGTGATGCCAATTGACGGGGCACATGCCATGGCGAACTTTATATTTGAGTTTTCGTCAGGCAGTGGACCTGTTGTTACCGACTCGGAGTCCATTGGAGTGTGGAGTGCATTGAACTACTTAATGCTTGCAGTACCTTTTGTGGTAGCAGGATTATTGATTTGGAGCTTCGTCAGAGGGCAGTGCCGGCTACGAACCGTGGGCAGCAATGCGCAATAATTGTGCAAAGTTGTTGTTGTTGTTGTTGTTTTTTACCTCCCTCTTTTCAGCATGAAGAGTAGACCTTGTTTTGCTTGGATTATTTGAACGTCCCGCGCGTGTGATTGTTTTGGAGTGAAAATGGCGGCAGTCCAGACGGCATGCGCCACCACGGCACGCATGCAACCCCCAAGGAGATTTTGCCTCCCTTGTGCGCAGAATCTTCAATAATTACAAGCCGCTCTGTTTTTTTTTTTTTTTTTTTTTTGATTTGCCATGTCTACTTTAGCCATTAGAGTAATAGTGGTGGGGCATGCTGCAGTCCCCGATACTTGTGGAGCCATGTAGTGCGATAGAAAGGGGGAGAGAGGAAGAATGCCTTGGCTTTGTAAATAATCAACGCCCGCAGCTGTCATGGTAGTTGTTGTTGTTGTTGTTTTGTTTTTTGAGGAATTTTTGACGTTGTCTTGGGATGTATTTTCAGGCGGATTAGCTTTTGATTTCTTTTTTGTTTTTTTCCGTTTCTTCGCCTCCCCTCTACATTTACGCTATCGAAAGGAAGAACTATGCGGACGATTGACTGTGAGTTCTCCCACTTCGCGGTGCATCCCGGCCACGGCCGCCGCTACGTGCCCTTCGCGTTCCTGTCGACGAAGCCCGTCCTGACGTTTGCCCGCCCCAAGTGCTTCGCCATGTACATGCGCAAGAAGAACCCCCGCTTTGTCCCGTGGACCCGCACGTACCGCCGCATCAACCGCAAGATGACAACCGACCGCGTTGGCCGTCGTCGCGCCGCTCGCACCGTGAAGGTGGAGCGCGGCATCGTTGGTGCCGACCTCTCCTACATTCAGGAGGTGCGGGCCAAGACGAAGAAGGTCGACCGCTCCGCCAAGGGCAAGGCAGTCCGCGCGGAGATGGCCGAGCGCAAGGCTGCGAAGAAGTGAGGGACATGAAAATGTCTTTGCAGCAGTATGTTCTTTTTCTTTTTTTTCTTTTTGTTTTTCTTTCTTTCTTTACTTTCTTCAAATATCTACGATTTGGTCTTTTGTCAAGTCCATCACTGTTAATAGCTTATATACGTGCACACACATATGTGGAGGGATTTATTGGAACGTAAGTTGGTGGTGGGTATTTAAAAGATGTGCGGTATATCTCCTGCTTCCTTTTTGCTTTTATTATTATTATTAAAGGCACTTCTTGTTTTCTGTTTAAATTGGACTAAGAATTCATTGGGAAGGGCCTGTTCACATGACATCCACAGCTACGGAGGTAACGCAAGTTCAGAGTCTTGCCGCCATACGAAATTTTATTCGTGTGGCTGTTTCTTGCGTTACGTACCTTCGGGGTTTGTGCAACGACGAGTCGTACCAGCCACGACAATTTCTCGGTCTGCAGCTCAAACAGTTGGTGCGATCATCGCCTGAAGCCGACGTCATATCACAGTGGATGGAAGATGGGGCATTTGATGCCCTCAACAAGGGGTATTTGAAGGCGCTTTCCCTCTGCATATATACCCCAAATTTCACGGAGCTGCTGGAAAGCTACAGCTTCAGCGTGTCGTACTCTCCAGACGGCCAGCGGGCTTCCTTGAGGTTTGCAGGCAACTCTCAGGGCGACGGGACAATGTGTCCGCTCACAGCTGCAACAACCGCCATGGCAAGAAGTCGAAGAAAACGGCACACACGTCAGGAGGTTCAGCAGGCGCTTGCAGGTATTATCACAAAACTCGTTGAAGTGGTGGAGGGATTACCGCCGCTCCTTTGTGAGCGTGTCTTGGCGATGCAGCTGACGTATTATGAAGATGTAACGCCACCGACGTACGAGCCGCCTTGTTTTTCCCCTGCGAGTGCCCACCTCGTTGGTCTTCATCAACAGGAGAAGAAGCAGAGCGCCAACATTGCGTCGCTTGATACGGGCCATCACATGATGTCTATCACCATTGGGCACCGTTTTTTTGACCGGTTGTTCTCACATTCGTCCATGGTGGCTGGAAACTCCACCATGACAACATCAACGGTAGACACGACATTTTCCGGCACGGAGGGGGAGGCGGCACTCAAACAGGTTCAGGATGTAAATGCAGCGCGTAAACAGACGTATTCAGTCAAGGATTCGTCACGGGATTGCCCTGAAGATCAAACGACCAACTCCCTCTCGTCTTCAAAGGACCTTGCATTTCTTGTGTTTACGTGTTTTGTGTTGACAAAGTCACCTGCCGTTTATCGGGGACGAGTATCCATGGGGGAAATTGCGGATTATCTTCGCGTCTCATACCCACTTGAGATCACACTGGAGATGGCCCAACAAATGATGTACCAACTGGAGCTGGAGGGTGTTGTGTCGGCGGCGGCGCAGCAGGAGTGGGTTGTGCATCCACTTCCTGCTGCAACAATTGCGAGCTCACTCCTCACCCAGCGGCAGGTTGTGTTGCTACTCAGCACACAGATTCATCGGGACTTGGAACGTCTTGTCAAAGGAGAAGATACGACGCGAATGAGCGTCGTTGCGAGGCGTAAGCGTCATCGAGACAAAGACTGACATGTTTGCACTCATTTGCTTTTTTTTTGTTTTTTGTTGTTTCTTTTTGAGAGAGGGATAAGATGTGTGTGTGTGTTTTTTTTTTTTTTCACCCACCCATTTGTGTAATGTGGTGGGGAAATATTTAAAAACACGCAGATGCGGGGTTTGGCGAACAGAGCGGGTAAATGTGCGGAAAGGGAGCTCCCCCTTATGAGGACACAGCAGCCTCCACATTATTTAATTTCTTTTTTTTTCTTGTTTTTGAGTGTGTGAAATGTTTGCTTGTTGTCTACTTGCGCATTTATTTTGTTGTCGTTGTTGTTGTGTTGACCAAAAGTGCATTTTGTGCGAGGCGGCATTATAGAAATGAGGTCGTGTTGCTTTTTGTCCATGGCAGCACCCCCTTGCGGCCCTCAGCTGCGCCTGCAGTGTCGGCGTTATCATGCCTTTCAGTTTGCCGGCTTTCATGGGTGGAAGATTCCCTACAATGGCAAGCTGAGAGTGACAAAGGAGGAGCTTGAGGGAACACGTTACTTCACGCAGCGCCCCAAGGAGAAGTGGGACTATCATCGTGTAGATGAGAACATAAACTCCTCTTCAGAATTTCGCCAGACACACGATAGACCTGCGTTCGAGCAGGGCATGCGCGAGGACAACTCTACTACGGAACATGGAGACATGCATACTCCCAAGAAGTATCGTCTGTACGAGTACTTTGATGAATATACAAAACCCGGGGTGAACAAAAAGGTGGCCGCTTGTTACGCGGTAAAGGAACAGTGGGATGCGGAGGAATTCTATTATCCCGGGGAAGCGTGGCAGAAGAATCGTCCCGGTTTCCGTAGCGTTCCCAAGGAATTATTGAATCGACAAACGTGGTATCACTGGTCTGACACAATAACGAAGTGGGATGAGATTCAACCAACAATGCGCACACGGTCGTGGAACCCGGACTGGCCGCCTCCAGGTTACACCGTGCCAAAATTACAATGTAAAAAGGAGTTTGTCTTTGGTGTGGAGGAACCTGGCCTTGTGTCGGAAGTGGAGCGCTACAATTGGTTTCGATCGTGGAGTGACAATAACATGCGTACTGGCTGGAAAGACGTCTGGCTCTTTGGTATTTTGTTTGGCACAATGTATTATCTTGCCCGCAATGCACTTGACATTGTTGCAATGAGGGCAATGATGAGCAATATGTACTACCCCGGTCGGCAGTTTGTACGACCCTTCGGTGTTCCAAAAGACTGGGAGAAAGGTGTCTTTTGGTGGCAACGTCCGTTAGAGGAATTTCCCAATCAGGGAGAGGTTTGGTACATGAATGAGGCCCGCTTCAAATACATCAATCACATCAAAAAACGTGACGCTCAGGAGCGGCTCTTGGCAGAAGCCGAGGCGGTTGAGGCTTAGAAGAAGAGAAGTCCGATAGATATAAATGTCAACGGGAAGGTAGGAAGTGGAGTAAAAACATATATATGTAGCAATGTGTAGTAGTAATAGGAGTAGCAGGATGGGGCAGAATGCAATGGGGGAGTGGGGGGGGAAGGTTTATTTATTTATTTTAGGGATTTATTTCTTGTGTTTGTTTGATAGTCCGGATGTTGTTGTTTTTTTCGATTAGTTTGTTTGTTTTTGTTTTTGTTCATGTTATTTGTTGGTGGCAGAGTGTGAAGTGTGTGTGTTTGTTGTGCTTCTTTGCGATTCTCTGCATGCTTTGAGGTGGATGCGGCAGAAGTTATTGTGGGCTTTTTTGCTGCCCATCCCTCTCCTCCTCCTCCTCCTCCTTCTACTGCTGCCACTTTCTTTTGCAGCGAGTCGTCGAGTATCGAAGTGTGTGACGTGTCGGTTGGGAGGAAGTGGTGGGGAGGGGGACGTGTTATGGCATGCCATACTCCTTTTCCTGTGAGTAACGTTTGTGGGTATTCTCAGGTGTCTTTCTTATTAATATTATTATTTATTTTTTTTTTTTTGATGCCATGGGGGAGAAGTGAGGGAAGTGTGCGTGTTTGTTTGTACATACATGAAACATCCGCAGTGGTATTCCACTGCTTTTTTCACCATTCCATCTTTTTTTTCTTTTTTTTCTCCGGTGTAGGTTTTAGGGTCTGACTAGTCATAGTTGCATGGTCATTGAGCATCGCATTGTCGAATTTTGTAGGTTTGATGGATGCGAATTCTATTGGGGCCGGATTTACTCAGCGAGTGCATGACGAGGAGGTGGGGGAAAGGGAGAGTGAGGAGAATAAAGGGCCGCTGACATGTTGTTTTAAAGAACTACACGAGATAACGAAGAGCGAAGTTTCGGTGTTAGGCCCTGCCACACCGTTTGAAGTCACTCATTCGGTCTCGTCGTCTTTTTTTGCTGTTTCTCATAACGAAGGGGAATGTCATCTGCACGACCGCATCGATCAGTATTACGACGACCGACACACGGTACCTTTTTCCATCGAGGAGGAAACATTTCCGGTGCCCGTGAGTCTTCCAGAAGAAAAGTGGATCCCTGGAAAACCGCTTCGAATTTCATATGTTAGCTGGAACATGGCTCATAGAAGACCCAATTTTGAGGATGTTGCTGGGCACTGCATTCACCCTAATGCACACATTATTGCTGTGTGCACGCAGGAAAATGGGAGTTACGTGCGAGTTAAAAAGGAGCAACGCCAATGGGAAAGACATGTTCGACACAATTGCCTTCATGGGGAATATGTACTTGTTGGTCGTAAGGAGCTGTGGTACATACAATTGCTTGTGTATGCACGTAAAAAAGATGTAGCGTCGTACGTTGGGTATTCGGATGCCTCAAGTGTGAAAACAGGAATTGCTAATGGGCTCGGGGGCAACAAGGGAGGGGTTGCGGTGGCGTTGTCTATCGCCATGACGGTCTCGCCCTTGCAGATGGTTCCGGGAAGAAGAAAGGGCGAGAACACTTCTCACACGGAAGGGAGCACGTCGTCGGTTTTCTCACCTAGAGAAGGCGGTCCATGCTCCGTGCATGTAGGTGACGATGTTAATTTTGAGGCCAGCGCGCCACCACGCATTACTCTACTTTTCGTTGGAGCTCATTTGTCTGCCCATCAAAAGGGTGTGCACATGCGGAATAAAGATTATATTTCCATTGTGCGATCGTTGCGCGTCGGGTCTCAAGGCCGCCACAAGGCACTTTTTAGGGAACGATTTTTGCACGAGTGTCCGTTTAATGAAGAATTGAAAGACGTGGACGGGGGTGACAACAACGAGGTGTTGGTGTCAGGATGTGGGAACGGTGTGGGCGACGAGTGTGGCGATGTCGAGTGCAGCAGTGACCTTTCACTCATGCGCCTTCCGGTTGCCCAAAGTAATTTTGACTCTCGGCTTTATCGCGATGTCACGGACGAGTTCGATCTTGTCTTTTTTGGTGGGGATCTCAACTATCGCATCAACGGCACACGCAAGGCGATTGAGTACATCATCAAAAACCACAAGGATGTCCGCTCGATTCTTGTCCATAATGACCAGCTGAATCTTGAGCGGGCGAAGGGCCTTGTTTTTCGTCGATTTTATGAGGGGAATCTTTTGTTTCGTCCAACGTACAAGTACGAAATTGCCCATGACGCGTACAATTACACAAAGAAGAAGGATCGCATGCCGGCGTACTGTGATCGTGTTCTTTACAAGAGAGGACAGGGCTCTAGGGCCGGGAGGGTACGAATACGTCTCTACACGGATGTACAGCACCTTCGGACAAGTGATCATCGGCCGGTAGTTGCCATATTTGACCTTGCGACGTGTGCGCATTTACCGTCTTTTCCACGTTGATTTCCCTGGGAGAGCGGCGAATTTCAATGCGCACTTTCTTGAATCTCCGGAATGCCTCGTGATGTGTTCTGTCTTGCCTCATTTTTTTTTTTTGCTTGTTTGTTTGTTTCGCTTGTGTTTTTTTCTTTTTTTTTTTTTTTCAATATTCACGTATATCTATCTATATTTCCCCTTCATATATTGTTTTCCATGGTTGTTCATGGTCTTATCCTTTCCGTGTGGCAATGCCGCATAATTGCACACGGATACTATAGAATGAGTTTATTTATCTATCTATAAATATATACGCATACATGTATGAGTGTGGAATGCGTGAGTCTGCATTTTTGAAGGAAAAGAAAAGTGTTGAATTTGAAGCTGGAATGAGCACCTGCCTTGTTGTTGTTGCCGTGGGGTGTGTGGTGTGGGGGGGAGGGGGGGGGGGAGGGGCCATGGGGAAATAAATAAAAAGAAACGGAAGGCATTTCTGCATATATTTTTTTTTATTTTATTTTTT